CAAACGCATGCACGAGGGTTTCAGCTGCATTTGGGGTAAGGTACAGTTGGAGGCAGGCAATGTGGCAGAGGTGGAAGAAGATGGTCCTGGTCAGGGACTGGATATGGGTGAGGATGAACAGCTGGGGGTCAAACTGGACGCCTAGGTTGCACACTGGTTCGGCGAGTCTGAGGGAGAACCCAGGGAGGTTGAGAAGTTTAGATCCGCAGGAGCCAAGGAGTATGGCTTCCATCTCATCCATATTCAGCTGCAGGAAGTTTACGCTCATCCAGGCCTTGATGTCTGCCAGACACGCTGATAGAACATCGGCGGACCTGGAGTTGGTATTGGAGGAGGCAAAGTAGATTTGTGTGTCCTCCACAAACATGTGGAAGGTTACCCCGTGTCTGCGGATGAATTGCTCAGAGGGAGCATATAGATAAGGAAAAGAAGAGGGCCAAGCAGGTGACTGGCGGGTGCAGGAGGAGAAACCATTTGCCAAGATGAAATGGAGGCGGTTGGTTAAGTGGTAGTCGAACCATATGAGCGCGGTCCCACTAAGATAAAACAACAACAACTTGGATTTAAATAGCGCCCTCCACACCAGATGGCGTTTCAGAGTGCTTTACAGTAACGGATCCCGGGGCCGAGCCAGGGGGAGGGGGAGGAAGGTGACCAAAGGTGCGGTCGAAGAGAAAGATCTTCAGCAGAGACCTGAAAATAGGAAGAAAGGAGGCGAGGCGAAGGGAGTGAGGAAGGGGGTTCCAGAGCCTCGGGGCATAGTGACTGAAGGCACGGCCACCAAAGGTGGAGCGGAGGATTCGGGGGACAAGGAAGAGGCCAGACCCAGAGGTAGATGAGGGAGGCGAGGCGGTGGAGGAGGATGGCGTGGTCAACTGTGTCAAACGCAGCAGAACGATCCAAGAGGACGAGGAGGCAAAGGGAGCCCTGGTCACAGATAGAGAGAATGTGGTTTGTGACTTTAACAAGGCGGGGCATCGTGGAATCTCTCAGGTGCTGAAATGGAGGAGATTGGGGAGGGGACAGAACGAGGCATAGGAGCAGCGGAGGTCTAAGCCTCTGCACACCTCTGCACAGTGACTACTTTCTATTATATCCTTCAATGTTAATTGCACCAAAATAAGGAATAACAGGCATTTTGTAGAACTTTAGCATATTGAAAAGACTGAAGGTATAACACAGTAACTGTTTTAAAGGTAAATGCAGCATCCATTTGTGCACAGCATATCCCATAAACCCCAAGTCCTGTGGGATGAAGTAGTAATTAACCTGGGGTTGTTGGGCTGGACACAGCGAGAGGCTCCTTGCTCTATTACAGTGTCACAGGATTTTCAACATCTACCTGAGCAGGTAGACAAAACTATACCTTTCACCTGCACTCCTCAGCTGTCACCTCTCTCCCTGGAGCAATGCATTCTGCTGACCTAATTTCAGAAAGTGTTAGGTGCCAAGAGCTAAGGCTATTGGTGTCGGGCAAGCTTTCCTGCTGCTTGTCCAGCTAGGACCACGGCTTTAGCTCACAGGGTTAACAGGAGTGGGATGATTCTCTGCCCGTGGGGACGGGTCTGCCCTTCCAGGTCCTACCAATGAGCCAGGTTGGCTGTGCTGTCATCAGTGATGCCCTGGAATACTGTGGAACCGCCTGGCTCAGAAACCAGACTACCGGGACTGGCACAGAAGGCTTGATTCTGACATGCCATTACCAGGCTTGTCACCTTGGAGCCAGTTCAGCCAGGCTATGGGATCCCATAGCCTGTCCTTTCCTGTAACATTTCCCTTGTCAGTTGTGCTCTTCACAAACTCTTCCTCAGCTCTCTGTATTCCTCTCTGCACTGGGAAAGATTTAGGCAGAAAATTTGGGCATTTCCTCCTTTTGACCATTTGAAACTGAAATCAACAAAGTAAGTAACATTAAGTAACAAAGTAAGTAAGTAAGTAAGTAAGTAAGTAAGTAAGTAAGTAAGTAAGTAAGTAAGTAAGTAAGTAAGTAAGTAAGTAAGTAAGTAAGTAAGTAAGTAAGTAAGTAAGTAAGTAAGTAAGTAAGTAAGCAGCTAATTTGCCCCTTTGAGAATGTTATCAGACTTGGGAGCATTTCCTGGAACATTCCTACCATTAACACCTATAACAAGGTCGGTCAGATCCCAGTGGGACACTTTATCGCCAGCTGTTTTTCGCTCGTGCTAAGTTTTTATTACTACAAATCTTCATTTTATTTTCATCCCTCTGCTCTGTCTCTGGAGGCTGAGGCACAACTTGCAGCTCCCATCCTGCTGTCTTCCGCTACCTCATTCAGCAGTCAGTTAGATGAGTACTTGACCTCCAAGGTCACTACAGCCATGCTACACTCTCCTGGACATGTGAGTGAAGGGGAACATAGGAGTGCAGTTCCCAAAACTAACTGAATAAACTTTCACTTCATCAATCGGGAGAAATTATTTCCACTTGCGGGTGGGTCGGTAACCCGAGGACACCGATTTAAAATAGTTGTTAAAAGAAACAGAAAGGGAGGTGAGGAGAAATGTTTTCACACAGCGAGTTGTTTGGATCTGGAATGCATTGCAGGAAAGGTGGAAGTCGATTCGATAACAACTTTTAAGAGAGAAGTAGATAATTATTTGGGGAGGACAAGTTTGCAGGGCTATGGGGAGAGAGCGGGGGAGTGGGATTGATTTGGAGAGCTCTTTTCAAAGAGCCGGCATAGACACAGTGGACCGAATGGCCTCCTTCGGTGCTGTATAATTCTATAATATAATAATAATAATCCTTGCATTTGATATAGCGCTTTTCACGTCTTCTAGATGTCTCAAAGCGCTTCACAGATTAGAATGTAAAGTGAATTGACTGTATATTTGTGGGTGAAATGCGGCAGCCAATTGCACACAGCAGTGTCCCCCAAACAGTCGTGAATTGAAATGACCAATTTATTACATTTTTTTTGAGGGATCATTATCAGGCGTGTAGAGTAAGGAACTTGCCCAAGGTTTCATCCTGCTGGGAATCGAACCCAGGTCTCTCGCTTGCAAAGCGAGTGCTCTAACCACTGAGCTACAGGACTCCTCCAAGTTGTTATATTTATGCAGTAGTGGCAAACAGAATTTGGGGGGAATTCATACATGTCAGGTGGCTGACACACTTAAGACACTTGGAAATTGCCCTGTCTCGGAATGAAGTGAGTGAGCAGTCAACTATGAATGCCATCCTCCACCACATCCACCTGTGCCCAGTCACAAAGATACACACCCAAACAGATATTGGGCAGGTCCCTGAAACACAACAACTTGCACTTATATTGCATCTTTCAGAAAGGTCTCAAAAAACTTCAGACTTCCAACAGGATGGCTGAGCAGGGTGAAAGAAAGGGGGAGCTTGAGGGGTTCTAGTCAAAGAGACAAGTTTTTAAGAGGGTTTTGAAGGCGGGGAGGTGAGGCGCAAGGCAAAAGGATTTGGGAAGAATTACAGAGAGCTTGTGCTTGGAGGCTGAAGGCTCAGACAGTAATAGTTCAGAGATGGAATGAAAAATGAGCACGACAACAACAACTTGGATTTATATAGCGCCCTCCATGCCGGACGGCGTCTCAGAGTGCTTCACAGTAACGGATCCCAGGGCCTCTCTGGGACGTGCAGCCAGTGCAATCTAGCAAGGACTGGGGTAATCGGTGAGCGGAGTTTGGTGCGGGTGAGAATGTGGGCAGCAGAGTTTTGAATAATCTGGATTTTATGGATGGTAGTGGAGGGGAGGCCGGCGAGGCGGGCGTTTGAATAATCCACCCGAGAGTTGACAGAGGCACTAGATTAGGAGGACAAGCAGGAGACTAGTGCTGGAGGAAATGGCGGAGGTTGGAAGGGTCAGGGCCAGATGGAATTTAAAGATGAGCATCCTGAAATTGATATGCTGGGACTAGTAATCCTGTGGAGCCTGGTGAGATGGGGGTTGTAGAGAATGAATATAGAACATCCAACCCTGGAAACATCACCGCCACTCAGTAACCTGACCTGATGCACTTTAATTTCGCACGTCCCATATACTGGATTAACGGACTGGCCACCTTCCCACTCAAATAATTATTCAATCTTTTCAAATATTTGAAACATATTTTGAAAGAAAACAGTGCAGTGAACTGTGATCGCTGTGGCACACAGATGTAAATAAATTCACAGCCAGATGTGAGGTACTCAGGGGACTGACCCCATCCCTGACCTTCCCCAAAGGCTCAACACAAAGAAAGCAACACACTTAATCATCATTCCCTGGGAGCTGCTGAATCAACAACTGCCTCGGGCAGTGGGAGAGCCTAACTGGGTTCTGATTGTAATGTGGGAACATTGCAAAGGTTTAAGCTTCCCCAGCGTGTCCTAGGTAGAAGTATCACAGGGTAGAGCAAATACAGACATGGACAAACACACTGCAGGGGCAGACCAACCAATGGCCTGATCTGATGCTGGAGAGAGACCAGGAGCGAGAGCCCTGACTGCTTTTCCCTTCCTGACCTTGAAAAGCTAAGGCAGATGCAGCCCCCTGAGATCAGCAATCTCAGCACAGAATCAGCAAGCTCCTACTCCTGCTGTAGCTCTGTTCCCCACAATCTTACACTTTAAGTGGATAGTCTTAAGACTAAAGCCACAAGAATTTGGGGTGGCTGGGAGCAGCATCAGGCCATCTGGCTGTCTGCCTCACTGCCTCCTCCGACTTCACACCTTCTCAACAGCGACCAACAGGGCTCCCAAGATAATCATTCCTGCCTCGCTCCTCACTCTGTAAACCAGGGCATGAGGTCAGCTGTGCCACCCTTCCCAACCCACCCCCAGGTTGAGATCGGTAATATACAAATATATTAGTTACATTTATATAGTGCCTTTCACTGTGGGAAGATGTCTCAAAGTGATGAAATATACATACTTAAAGGACATGTATTTACACGTGTGTTTGACGCTGTTTCTCAGTTGGAAGGATTGTTCTACATTGAGCACGGAATTCTCAAACCGCACATCTCTATATTCCGTAAAATATTTTAATGACATTTGTCTCTTCCAGCAAAATGCGCAAAATTCTTAATATATCATCCTTATCACAAACCAAGCAAATACAGTTACTCAAAGAAGATTCAAACTATTCAGCCAGTGTCTCAGCTCTGTGTGAGGGACATAGACCATCACCAGCACGCAATCACAGACAGCATGCGACGGTGGCCACAAACACTAAGTTTCGATAACCAGTCTGTCTTCATCACTGCTGGTGTCACTGTTGTCAGCTCTGATCTGCCTTACTGTCCTCTCCTGCCCGGCCCGGGGAATAGTGAGGGGCTGTGTGACCTGCCGACCCTGGCTCAGCCTTGCTGTCTCGCTTCCACTCCACAGTCTATCCTGGTACTGAAGGCTGGACACTTCCTCGGGGGCAGGTAATGGCGTCTCATGAGGGGTTGTGAGTGAAGGTGAATGTTTGCTGGCTCTTGCCCGATCTGGAGGTGAGTGATGAGCAGGATGTGACCTGGAAGTGGTGTCCCCTAGTCCCACAACGCCTGGCCTTCCTGACCCTCTGTGGGCATCCGGGCTTTTGGCACTTCGTGGCTGGCATGGCTCTGGGTGCCCAGGCAGGTTGGAATGGCCAGTGGGCACGGTCTGTGGTGAGGGAAGGAGGGGGGAAGGGATTGTTGCCGGGAGCAGCACCAGGCCAGCTGGTTGCCTCACTGTCTCCCTTGGCTTCACTTCTAACTTCTGAGCATAACAGCCAGAGTCAGGACATCTGCTCGGGCTGTAAACTGCCGGTAGCACAGCGAGGGCGTCCGGTGCTAGGGGTGCCCGTGCCGACTGTCCCAGTGTGGGCAGTGCTAGTGGGAGTGGTGTCAGTGTGGGCGCAGCTGGTGTGGGCAGTGCCCGTGTGAGTGGAGCCAGTGTGGGCACTGCCAATGGGGGCAGTGCCAGTGTAGACAGAGCTGCTGTAGTCAGTGCCAGCACGAGACACGGGGGTCCTGGGTCACCCACCTGGGCCGGAATCGCCGTCATTACAAGCGGCTGGAATTGAAAATAAATTAATATTTCAGAATGTGCATCTTCTTATGTGTTATTTCTAAAACAGAAATAAATATTTCCTCATCCCTCCTTTAGTGATATCATAAATCCTGTGTGTTCATCCTCAAATAAAACTCCAATTATTGTGGAGGAGCTGGAGTGACACATTGTGCTGGCCAGACTGAGCCACTAGAACACTGCAGAGAGGCCTGCTGTGTCCTCTTCCACACCAGGCACCAGGAGCCTATCAGCCCCATCCTCACCTTTGTACCCCCACCCTATTTGCCCCCACCATCAGTGGGTGAGTTGTAAGTCAATCTGCCCCCACTTTCTGGAACTCCATACTCTGACTCGCTATCTCCTAACATTCTAAGCTATTTCACCTCTGCTCACACTTTCAGTCATCTTTCCCCTCCCACCTTCCAGCTCCCACCCTCCCATGATCCAACCATCAACCATGTAAAGAAATTACCTAGGAAATTCTCGATCAACTTACTCTCACCACTTACTTTCGCCCTTGGTTCCCACCATGTTATCTCACTGTGCTTACACTGAACTGCACCTATCACCCGCTGACCAGTGTCCTAAATAATTGAATTATATTGTTTCATCTGCCCCATTCTTAGAATACTCAGAAAGTGTGAGGTTGTGGGTGTAGAGTCGGACAATTGTTATCTTTAAAACTTATATGGGGAGTACTGCGAGCCTCTATCCCACTGCACTAATGGTAGAAAACAATTGCATTTATTACACTCACCTCCATGTCTTGTGAAGCCCCTCTCAGTAGGACAGCCAGTGATGGGAGATCTTGGTTTGGGGTTGGTTCCCCTTGGCGTCTCTGTGTGTCTGCAGCAAATGGGCTTCCATCACTTGCAGTGCAGGTTGTAATCGCCACAGCACTCTGAATTACCCGAGAAAACATGGGCAACAAGGAACCAGTGAAGGCAGGATTAATGCCACTCTTCTGGGATACTGAGCCTGGCATTGCTGAGTGCCTGGACATCTCGGTATGAGAGCCAGACAAGGTTTGGGCAAGCACACAGTCCTGACTGTTGGACAGCTCGGAAACGGTTTGTGCCCAGGAGGCAGACACCGAGAGGGAAGCAGCAGGGCTAGTTCGCTTCTTCAGAAAACACATGTTGGCTGAGCCCTTCTGGCCCTGGGAGACATCAAGAGGGAAGGAGCCACCTGGGAGCTGTGAGCACAGAGACCCCACCGAAGACCTGGGGACAAGAAGAGCCCAAGTCCCAGCAATAGACTCTGGGGCAAGTTCTGGGCACTGTGCTGCTGGAGAGGGTCCATGTTGCACGTTCAGTGTAGAGCTTACGGAGGACAATGGGACCAGAGTGATTCCTGGTTCATCAACAGTGAAGGCAGCATCTATGGTTGACCCAGGAAATGGGTTTGTGGAGTCGGTGAGAGGGAGAGACTGTGCTGCCTTTCGCTGGGTAACATGTGACCCTCGGTCTGCGACTCGCTCCCTTTGATTGTCAGCTACAGCCTCATTAACATCTACTGAACATAAAGCAGAGATTGGATTATCATGTTGAAACATCCAGGAACAATAGCCCAAATATTAGAGGTTATTGCTGTCATGAACAGTGACTTATTTTTAGACAAACACAATAGCTATTTTGCACAGTGCCAGGTTCTCACGTGAAGTGAATAATCAATTAATCTGGAGGACTATGAGCCAGGTCACTGGGTGAAATTCCCTTTTCTTTTCTTATCATCAATCATATCTGTCCCTGGTCATGTTTCTCCTGACGTCTCTCCTGCAGACCTGTTCTCCCATCTTTGAAACCACTCCTCAACTCTGATCTGCTTGCTCTTCACTCTCGCTGTCCCACCATCATTGGATGAGGTTTCAGACATTAGTCCTCACTCTCTAGAACGCCTAAATTCCCTCTTCCTTGCACCACTTCTGCCTTCAAACCTTTTTTAAAAAAAATGCTTCCATTAACGCCCTTAAACTCATCCTTCCTTTCTGCCTGCTGGTTTACAGTAACTGTACTGCAGCACCCTCTTGTGGTTCCTAATTCCCTTTGTTTTATATGCAAAGTGTTCAGTGAAGCCTCATTTTTTCGTGTCAGCCGAGTGTATCCAAACCAAGTAATAATAATCCTTGCTTTGGGTACTTATCACATCTTTGAGAGGTCTCAAAGCACTTCACAGAATATACTATAAGTAACTGCCTAAAAGTTCGACTTATACATGGAAATTCCAGAGATATTTATTGGAATGGAGTGCGCACTCTCTCCCTGGAGTGACACATCATGCTTACCTAATTCGAGAAAGTATTTGTGCAGGTTGGCAAGAGCCAAAGCTTAGGGACCCCCAGAGAGTGTGTTGGGGCAACTGCTGGAGTCTAACCAGCTAAAACCACAAACTTGTCATTAGAGCATTGCCTGGCCAGCTTACCCACTGCTTGTCCAGCTGAGGACCACCCTATCCATTAGGGCTTTGGCTTGTAACCACCCTGCTCCCAGTGACTGGTCTGCCCTTCCAAGTCCTACCGATGAGCCAGGCTGGTGAGTGAGACCTCTACACCATATCTGACCCATCTCATTGTTCCAGAGTAAGAATATTGGTGTAGATTATTCATTAATCTATTCTTTAATTGTTTCCTGGATCACACCAATGGACTGTGATGGTGTAGTGCTTTCCTACCTCCTAGCCTGTGCGTCTGCTCCTGATTGGCTGGTGCGTCTCGCAGTCTCAGGCGCAGTTTTCTGTGAACCTTTGACTTCATGTGTTTCGTTAGGTTTCCTGTCAGAATGAGAGAGATTTACTAGGGGCCATTGGCTACTTATCTCTGTTAGCTATGACTACAGAATACATGCAACCAATCTGTGCACAGCAACATCCCATAATATATTAATGACAACAATGATAATAATCCTTACATTTGATATAACACCTTATCATACTGTGCTTCTTAGGATTTTACTGTGAAGAGGAATTAGTGACTGTATATTTTGTAGAATGTGGCAGCCAGTTTGGCACAGCAATGTCCCACCAACAGCCATGGAGTGAATCCTAATTTTATTAGGGGGATTGTTGGCCAGGACACCAAGAGAAATTCCCTTCTCTTTACCTGTAGTGCCATGGAATCTTTAATGTCCACCTGAATAGACAGACGGGACCTTGGTTTAATGTCTCATCCGAAGGACAGCTGCACACCTCCAGCACTTCACTGAACTGTGTGTTAAAAAAGTCCAAGACATGGGTCTTAATCCTGCAACCTTTTGACTTAGTATTGCTATCAAAGAGTGTATGGGCTCAAAGGTACATGCATTACTGTATACGCTCACTGCTCTGTGCCTAGCTATGAGGCTGTGTACAGACACTGACTCATGCTTTGCTGTGGAGCTGTGGATTGTCTGTAAGATTCTGCAATTAATGTGTTAAATAATATCTCAAATTATATTTGTGATATTTATATTTTTGAGATATATGATCAATCTCATATGATGGGAGCTGGTTGTGACTAGCTTCACAGAAGAAACAAAAGGCTGTTTACAAACAACAAACTGTTTTCAGTCCTTATTAGTCATTTTCTCATGGAAAAATGTTCTGCAGCTGGAGAGAGAGCTGTGTTCCATTTTTTCACAAAGGAACCATCTTGCAAAAGACAATAGGTGAAAGATCACCAAATTAACTGTCTAAACGGAGATCGATTCCAAAAGAGCATTTGAAGAAAGAATTGGGGAAGAAGAAATAAAGTAATTGGAACTTGGGGTCGCAAACCATATTCCAGCTTCTAAAGAAGGAAGATCAAGACTACGATTTAAACAACAGTCAACGTGTAATAGTACCTGGATACTTTTGGGTGATTGAACTGGGAAACGTACAACAATATTTGGATATCTTTTGAAGAGCCATTAAAAAGGGAATATTGAAATGGACATTAAATTGGACATTGGACACTCCTCTATCTCTTCCGGAACATTTGATTAGATCAACTTAAATCGTTGTGAACTGTACGTGGATACGTAAGCATTATTATGATGTATTATTTTAATTCGTTATAACTATTACTAATCAGAATTAATAAACATCTATATATTTTTGAACAACATTTGTGTCTGCCTTCCCCCACCTCCGCAACATCGCCCGGCTCCGCCACTGTCTCACGTTGCAGACCGTCGAAACCCTCATACACCCATTCATTACATCGAGGCTTGACTATGCAAACTCCTTGCTTTGTCGGCCTCCCCAACTCCTCCCTCCAGAGCCTGCAGATCATCCAGAATACTGCAGCCTGTGTCCTTACCAGGCTCCGTGACCCTATCACCTCCACCCTCGCCCAACTCCACTGGCTTCCCATCACACAGAGGATACAGTTCCAGATCCCAGTCCTCACCTTCAAAGCCCTCCATGGTCTTGCTCCCCCCTACCTTGCGACGTCCTAATCCCCTACCAACCTGCCCACTCCCTCTGCTTAGCGGGCTCTGGCTTGCTTCACTTCCCCAACCTTGCCCACCCCACCATTGGCAGACAAGCCTTCTGCCACTCTGCCCCCCACTCTCTGGAACTCCATCCCGCAGTCCTTCCGCCTCGCCCCCTCCCTTGCCTCTCAAGACCCACCTCTTCGACCGTGCTTTCGATCACCCTGCTTCCCCCCCTGGACTCCACCCTCCCGAATCCCGACCTTGAGTCCTAAACTCTGACTGTCCAGCGCCTTAGGACATCCTCCTTACGTGAAAGACGCTATACAAATGCAATTTTATTTTTGTTGTGTCAGTCCTTACTTCACCGCAGGGTCAAAATTTACATTAACCCTCACACGTCTTTACTGCTGGAGTTATTGCTGTACTCATGCATTGCTGAGTATAGCTTTGTGCGTGTGTTGCTGTGACCTGGGCTTTCCTTACCTTTAGTTTTGAAGGAGCTGGTGCAGAGCGAACAGCGATATGGCCGGGCACTGGTGTGGCTGTGTCGGTGGGTCCTTAGGGCGCTGGGCTTCTCACAGCCAATGCTACACTGCTGGCTCTGCTGCTTCCCTCGGCCACCGCCCCGCACAGGCACCTCATCCTCTCTGTGGCTGCCGAGACAGTTGCAATGTTTCAACCTCCTAACAACAGGGAAGCTTTCAGCTCCATTTCACTTGATATTTAATGGTAACTCAGGAGGATGGCATGGAGCTCAGAGCTCGAAGCCTCACCCTCGGCTAAACAATAATAAAGATAATAATAATCCTTGCTTTTGATATAGCTCCTGATCACATCATCAAGACAGAATATACTGTAAAGTGAATGAATTAAATTTTGTTAACAATATGTCAGGGAATCACTGGCTCAGCACTCACTCAGCTCAGCTCACAGCAGTGGTGGGCGCTGCAGCTAGGAACCACTCCACAACCAGCTCCAAAGATAAATCCTTTGGCATCTTTGCCCTCACTCCTCTCAGCGTCTGAGGTTTCACATCTGGATCATATCAACATTTTCGGCACAAGAGGCCATTCCTTATCGTGCGGGGTTGCTGCTGCCTGATTTTCTCGATCTCCCACTTTCTTTAATCCTACTCTTTTCCCACATTGACTGCTGGGACTATTTATTGCTTTTATTGCTTTCCTTTCTCCATAGATGCTGCCTGAGCTGCTGAGTGTTCCCAGCAACTTCTGTTTTTGTTTACTGCTGGGAGGCCTGACAGTCCTCAGGATGACAATGTAACTTCATGTCTGTTTGTTCTCACTCTCGCTCTGTATTTACGTACAGCTGCTAAGATTTGTTCTTCTTTATCCTGTTATATCAAAGGCACTATTTAATTGGTTATTATGTGGCTCAGACATCCTCCCCATCCCAGACACAACCATCCCAAACACCCACATCACAGACACCCACGCCCCTCACGTGTTGCCACGTACCTTCTGTTCCAGGTGACTGTTCTCTTGCGGTTGCTGCGTCGATGTTTCATCTCATTTTTTCTCAGGAGCGTGGCTGGATCCTCCCACTGTAAACATTGGCTATGGGGTACGAGCGGCGGCTTTTCAACCTGATTAATAAAATAAATAATCGTGTGCTACAGTGCCTCACCATAAAGAGCTCAGTGAGATACAGTCAGTGACACAGGGCACTGGCTGACTATGCTCCTAGTGGGGGAGGTAAGTGGGCTGAGAGCTGAGCTGGCTCCATGGTGAGTGCTTGGCAACTGAAAATTGGAATTGAGTCAATATTCTATGATAGTCTCTAGTCCAGTTGCTGACCCAGGTGGGTCCGCAGTACTTACTCCAGGGCACTGCTGATGACAGCACAGCCAGCCTGGCTCATCAGCAGGACCTGGAGGGTAGACCGGTCAATAGGGCAGGGAATCCTCCCACTCAGCTCCTGTTAACCCTGCAAGCCAAGGTCCTAACAAAGAGGCTGGTTTTCTCAAGCAGCAGGAAAGCTTGCTGGACAGTGCTATCAATGGTAAGCTATGTGGTTTTAGCTGGTTACCCCAATGCACACTCTGGGCTCCACAAGCCTCGGCTGTTATTAACCTGCACCTAATACTCTCGAGAATTAGGTAAGCAGGGTCCATCTCTCCTAGGAGAGAGTGCATAATCCTTCCCTGATAGGGAAATTTCCATGTGTAGATGACATACATGGAACTCTGTCTGCTTTGGATACTCTTAAGCATGATGAGGGTTTCTGTCAGACTGACCAAAACAAGGGCACTGGCTAGCTGGGAGGAGTTACTGAGTCCCATGTGCTACAGTAACATCTGGGATAGTCAGCCTGGCCTGGAGGGAGCTGGATCACACCAGTGCTGACTGGGGATCAGCCAGTAACAAGGAGCACTGTTGGGAAGTGACCGAGCCCGACAGTGCGAGAGAAGTAGAGTAACATCATTGGAGATTTAGTTTACACAAAACGGGTTAGAAAGTGTTTGTGTGGAGATTAACTTACTGAGGAAGTAGGCTGTTCTCTCTGCTTTAGGCGATGCAGAGACAAGGTGTCCCTCGCGGCCAGGTGAGATGCTGCTGGGTTCCCGGTGCAGGTGGGCCAGGTGGCGTAGGCAGAAGTCAGGCCATGTCCCCCGGCCAAGGGGATGGCCTTTCTCAGGAAGCACCAGGTGGGCTCTGGCTCGCTCTGCAATGTGGGGAAGGGGAGCAGGTGGGTTGCTGGGGCTGAAGCCAGCTCCTCGGGAAGGCAATGGCTCACAGCTGGCTTGGTGCAGGATGAAGCAGGGGGCATTGTGGTGGCTGTGTGACCGCCGTGGGGACCATCAGAACACGTGGCTTGTAGATAGGCCTCTGTGCTCAGCTCTGGATCTGTTCTGCCAGTCTCCTTGTCTTCCCTGGGAATACTGGCTTGCTGGGGGACAAGGCGGGCATGGATATCCTCCACACTGCCCCATGGCTCAGCTGAGAATCCCTGGGTGATTAAGTGAGCCAGAGCAGCAGGAGCTTGGACACTTGCTGACGTGTAGTGGTGAGTGACAGCGATGGGCGATGAGCAGCCTCTGGGTGGGTGGGCACTCTCTTTCTGCCTCACCACAGGGCAATGCCCACCAGAGACCACCGTCGTGACTGTGCCACACACAGCGCAGCAGCAAGCCCAGGCTGTTGGCAATGCTGGCTCCCGGCTTTCCCTGCTCGACCGCTGCTCAGAGACAGGCTGGGCTGAGGGGAGAGAGGAGCGGGCACTGAGTGGAACACTGACCTCCTCATTCAGGAATGTGAGCTGATATTTGGGAAGAAAGTCTTTCTGCCCTTGAGAAGCTTTCCCAGGTAACGTTGCCCCTTTCCCTGAGAGTGGGTCTGAGGGCAGCTGTGATGGTGAATGTGACCCAGGTGCTTGGCTGGGGTTTGCAGAGGGAGACAGGTAGTCGCTGGCTGTCTGGGAGGAGGTTGAGTCTCTGACATCAGTAGGTCTCAGTCTTGGTCTCTTTGTCCATGGCAATCCGGAGCCTGTGCCACTATATCTCTGTGTTTCAGACACTCCCACGGCTCCACGCTCCTGGGGAACAGACACCCCACAGCAGCCGGGACCCCGCTCCGGCACCAGGATACTCATCTGCCGCATCAGGTGTGGGTGGGGTGTGGGGAGCAGTACCGGGGCTGGGATTGAGATTGGTGTTGGGGCTGGACCTGGTGATTGGGCTGGGGTTGGGTCTGGGGTTGAGGTTGGGGCTGTGGATGGGGTTGGGGCTGTGGATGGGGCTGGGATTGAGGCTGGGGTTGAGGTTGGGGCTGGATTTGGGGCTCGGGCTAGGGAAGGAGCTGTGATTGTGGTTGGGGTTGGGGCTGGAGCTGTGAATGGGATTGAACCCCGGCTCCTGGCCTGGTACATCTTCCTAAATGTCCCCTCGCCATACACTGACCATTTCTCCGGGGAGAATTTCTGTAACTTTCTCTTTTCAGACGATCCGTGTTTGGTGTGAGCGGCTTTGCGGGTGCCTGGGGCCGGAGCTGGGGCTGGGCACTCACCCTGGGCAGGGGGTAGCGAGTCCAGAGCCGTCTGTCTGACCAGAGTGCGTGAGAGGCTGGGGTGGACGCCTGGGGAGCTAGGGTCTCTGCACAGAACAGTGGCTGTGCCTCTCTGCAGAGGGTGACAGTGGGGTGTGAGCTGTGTTTGCCCGGGGGGTGATGGCTGCCCTGCCCCGGGGGGCAGTGAGTTGCTCCTCGTAACCTGTGAGAAGCCCACAGTGGCACAGGAATGTGATGGTAATGAGCTGAACAAGCTTTGCTTTGCTCTGCGGATGGACTCCAGGTTAGATTTGGGTGAAGGATCCATTTTTCTGTTGACGTGCGAGGATTTCATGTCAAAATGAAAGGAATCCTTAAAGGTGTACGGCATTGGCAGATCAATGCTGCCCTGCTTGGAAAGGATGCTCTTCCGGGGTCTGACAATTTCCAGGTGTTTATCATCCACCACAGCTTCGTTGTCAGAGATGAGCTTACTGATACGTTCCTCAAGCCGCCTCTTGTCCACCCCTGAGATGGGGAGCTCACGGGCCGGGCTCTGCTCAGCATTTCCCGAGAAGCACCTAAGGGCGCCCGCTGACTCTGCGCTGGACTCCTGGAGGCTCTGCGTGGGGCTGGAGGCCCATGTCAGCTGCTCTGTGCTGTCAGAATAGCCAGAGTCAGTGCTGCCAGTGGTCTGCAGGCTGGAGCTCGAGCTTGACCATTCCCCAAGCCGCTGCTCAGGGAAGCAAGTCGCCTGTTGCCTTTGGAGAACCAAATTCCTGCTCCTGGATTGGCGGCTTTCCAGACTCTCAGAACTAAAGGACAGCTTCTCGGCAGCTTCCCCAACACTGGCACATTGGGAGGCACAGACACTGGCACATTGAGCAGGCTGAGGGGCAGGCAATGGACCAACATTGGGAATGCTGCCACTGGCCACTGGCAAGGCCTGAACCCTTGAGGGACCCCCAATGCCCAGCAGATACCCACCCTGGCCCACAGTCTCTGCCCCGCCCCTGCTGTTGTTGACGTGGGTCCGCGTGCGTTTGTGTTTGTATAAATTGCTCTGGGTTTTGAATGAAACTCCGCAGGTGCTGCAGGGGAATGGCCTTTCCCCAGTGTGCGACCGCACGTGTTTCTGCAGCACACTGGGCTTGGCACAGTCCCGGCCACACTGAGGGCACACACACTGGCTCAGCTTCTTGGCTTTGATCGGACGCTCTCCTTGGCCAATGTGACCAGCGGCCTCTGGGCCAGGGAGGGGTGTGTGGTCCCGGGGTCTCTGAGGCTGGTTCTGCAGAGATGGGAAGTAGCAGCCACAGAGATGAAGCAGGTCACATCCTCTCTATGTGGACTTGTCGAAGTGCTCTGAAGGGATGGTTGTTGGAGGACTTGATGAGGAACTAGAGGGTGCAGCTCTGTCTGCAGGAAGATCATCTGAGCCGTGTGTACTTCATTGCCCCACTTGATGCCATCACCATTGACACCAGCGCGATATCGAATGCCTGCTCCTGGCCCGGGCACCACCACACCATTTCCCAACTGCAGCACAGGAGAGGCTGCTGGCATCATGAAGCTCTGCTGTGCCCTCTGATCACCCATCTCTGCCTGATTGTCACAAGCTGCAGCCATTTGCCAGTGTCTTGCGTCAGTATCTCACAGCCTTAGCACACATCAGAAATAGCTGCAACCAATACACGCTTCTGATTAGAGTGATTTCAAACTCATCCGTAAAACAGCACCTCCCATCACGGAGCAGCGCCAATTTAATGTTTCATCTGAAGGATGGCACCTCTGACCATGCAGCTCACCCCACCACCGTATTGGAGTCTCAGACTCGATTATGAGCTCAAAGTCTCAATGTTGAACTCACAGCCTTCCAGCTCAGATGCGAGAACACTCCCCTGATTGATCCAGGCTGATACGGGATTTGTTCCCAAACCTACAAATAGATCAACAGAAATCATCTCCTCCCAAGGAACAAGAAACCATGGGTAACAAGGAATGAGCCAAAAGTAATCACTGCAATGAAGGATTGTTTAGAGGCCCTCGAGGGAGGGACTGAGGCAATTGTCAGGGAAACGAGAATTAACTGACACTGATCATGAGGCTACAAGGCAGTCCTACAGTCACAGGCCCACAGCGCTTGCTCCAGGGAATCAGTGTTCACAACAACCTAAACAAACAAATTGCATTAATTCAGTGTCTTTCACATCAGGAGGGCGTCCCAAGGTGTTGGGCAGTTGAAGATTTGCATCCGAGCTGGGGGTTAGAATTGGGAGAGGTGGTGCCAAGGAGGGAGGGATAGGAGCCAGCTCTAACACATGCTGCAACTGACATGTGAGTGCTGGACAGTGTAGAGGGAACCTTACTCTGTGCCCAACCTGTGTTGGATAATAATAATAATCCTTCCATTTGGTACAGCACCTTTCACTTTGGAAGGACATCTCAAATCCTTCACAGAATTTTACTGGAGAGAGCTTTACTCTGTATCTCACCCGTGCTATAGTACGTTAAGCATGTTCATTGTCATATATTGTGACACAGTTAGATAATAATAATCCTTGCATTTGATATAGCCCTTTTCATGTCTTCTAGATATCTCAAAGTGCTTCACAGAATATACTGTAAAGTGAATTGACCGTATATTTGTGGGCAAAATGCGGCAGCTAATTGCGCACAGCAGTATCCCATAAACAGTCGTGGATTGAAGTGACCAATTTATTATTTTTTTTCTTGAGGGATTATTATCAGGCGTGTGGAGTAAGGAAACTTGCCCAAGGTTTCACCCTGCCGGAAATCGAACCCAGGTCTCTTGCTTGTGAGGCGAGTGCTCTAACCACTGAACTACAGGACTCTACAGATAATAGATAGTATCTGTAGATAGATAATAAAAATAATAATAGTATCTGTAGATAGATAGTAATTAGACAGAGTTAAATGGACACGTGCATTGAACAAATCATTAAATGTAATATGATAAAAGTGTTCAGTATGCCCCAAATTATACTAGAGATAGGCTGTATGTAATAACTGCCTACTGAGTTCAACAATCTTACCTTGAATCAGGAAGCAGCTTGTTTCCAGGGTCAGAATTTAAAGGGTAGCATAGATCGAGAGGGAGGGAGGGCGAGAGGGAGGCAGGGAGGGCGAGAGGGAGGCAGGGAGGGCGAGAGGGAGGAGGGTGAGAGGGAGGGAGGGAGGGAGGAAGGGTGATAGGGATGGTGAGACGGAGGGAGGGAGGGAGGGAGAGAGAGAGAGGGAGGGAGGCAGAGAAAGGGAGAGGAAGAAATAGAGGGAAAGACGCAGAGAGAGAAGGGAGGAAGTAGTGAGGGAGAGCACACGATGGAAAGAGAGATGGACTGGGCAGCAAGCAGGTGGAAGTTAGTGAGAGATAAAGTTAGAGATGAAGAAGAATAGGGAAGGAGTGAGAGGGGGAGGAGGGAGGGAAGATGAGGAAGGGAATAGGTAACCCACTTTGCACTGATCAGAAGCAGAGCTGCTCGGCCTCACAGTTTAATCACTCGTAAGTAGAACCACAGTTAGACGAGCAGCCTGCTCTGTGCCCTCAGCAGATGGATTGGTTTGTTTGGGGGAGTCTTAGACTTACCTTGTGTAAATCCAGGCTGCAAACACCAGTTTGAAAGTGTACACATATTACCCTGAAATAACAATGCGTGGGTGCTGAACCAGAAATGACATCAGATGGGGAGATCTCACAGAGGAAGCAGATAAACCACAGGCCAAGTGGTTAGAGGCTGAGCCTGAGAAAGGCACCAAGGTGAGCACGCAACTGTGAGCAGCACCAGTGTGCACAGGGTCAGTGTGAGCAGCACGATAGTGCCCATGTGCTCATCATTGTACCCTCAATCCACGACTGATTGTGGCTGCCACGTTTCGCCCACAAAATACACAGTCAATTCACTTTACAGTATATTTTGTGAAGCGCTTTGAGACATCTTAATGAAGTAATAAGGCGCTATATCAAATACAAGGATTTTTATGTACACATACATTCATGTACGTAATGACATATGCACTCACAACATATACTTATGCTCACACATATGCATTCACAAACGTACAGATATGCATCGCTCATATGCATACGCGTGCATTGACACATGCACACATATCTCTTTGCATATGCTTGCACAAAGACGTGCACATACATATGAAAATCACACATACACCCCATCACCGGACCATGCCATAATGAGACAGACTAAGACACCGCAAAAGAGGATCAGAACAACATTGCTCTAACCTGTAATACTCGGAAAGATGTGGCTTCAGACTGTTAATGGTTAACTATATAAATGCTGCTCTCCGGCTACTCTCTGGCCAGCTCAGGTGCTGGAGCCGCCGGTTATTCCCTGGCACTCAGCTCTCCCGCCGACGCAAGGCTGGGGCTCGGGCGCAAGGATAGTGCTCTGCAGCAAAGCTGTGTGGGCGTAAAAATGATACGACTGAGTTTTGTGTGCAAGCTGCAAAGGAGAATAAGAGAGAATGCTTTAATAACCTGCAGGCGGGCAGTTTTACACATCAAATACCACCGTGCAGAGTGCAAAACTTTCTGAACCTTGCCTGCCATTCTCTCAGAGGATGGTCAGATCAATAACTGCCCTAGATCCCGTTATTCAAACCTCTACCTGCTGTGTGTCTGAGCCACATGGTAGAGAAGAAGGGTACTGGCTCTGTGCAGTGTTTGCTTATCTCAGCCTGGCCACGAGACCTCACCATAGAGAAGAAGAAATCTCAGCCTGGCCTAGTTCTTGCTCGCTGGCCAGATTCCCTCACTCTACTGAATACACATCACATAGGACTAGATTGGGCTGGGACTGTGACTCTAGTGACATTTATTGGGAACATACATGACGGATAGTCACTTGGGGCAATGTACTTGAGGCATAGAGCTTTTGGCCTTTGTACCTTAGGGATACGCCTGTGTTTGCTGGCAAACATAGGGTTGCCATCTAAATCTGGCCACCAACTCGAAAAGCACCTTCTCGCTGACACCATGTAACACCTCTCCTCTCAGGACTTTCCGACTTATTTCCTTGAGCACAACAGTGCATTAAACCAGGGACAAAAAACCAGGGACCTTTCATGTGCATCTTGAATTGAAACAAATTGCGCATATTTGTTTGGAGCAATGCTGTAGACAAAATTGATCGTTCACTTTATGGGAACATTGGTATGTGCAAATTGGCTGCTGTGTTTGCCAACAAAATGCACACGATAGTCACTCCCCATTAGGGCTTTGGCTTGCAGAGTTAATAATAGCTCAGTGCAAAAAATCCCTGCTCCCAGTGACTGGTCTACCCCTCCACATCCTGCCGATGAGCCAGGATGGGCTAGGCTATTATCAGCAGTGCATGGCATACTCCGGACCCGCCTGGGTCAGGAACCAGACTACTGAGACCCCCGCAGATGGTTGAAGTGAATTACTACATTCTATTGCTGACATGTCACCTTGGAGTCATTTTGGCTCGAAGGAGACTCCGCTTACCTCCCCTCCAAGGAGGATAGTCACTATTTGGCCCCTGAAATGATCTCATTCTCCGGTGCTCTCGATGCATCGGAGACCTCGGTTAGAGAACGGTGATTTCACGTCCACGTTTCTCTGTGCAGCTTTTCTGGGCACAGGGCACAGAGCTTTCACTGTAGGCGGCAAAATTAGTGTTGCCATAGTTACCAGACTTCTTCACTATAAATAATAATTTGATTACTGGTCTGAAAATGAAGCTGTGCTGTGTTTTTCTGGTTCCACTCCAACCCGTCTCAATGGCCCCACTATGTTTCCTCCAATGGCTTCTTATCCCTTGTGTCCTCCAGGGCTTTGTCCTTGGTCTTGGATTATTCCTGATCTACGTCATCATGGCTGCCAACTTTTTACATCCTTAGGTCAATGCGGTGTGGCTACCATGTGAGGTTCCCTTTTTTAAGGCACAAATTAACTGAGGTTTGGGCTTTGAGGCTGAATTTGGGGAGATTGAGTTTGGGGACAATGATATTATTTGCGGTTGAGTTGAGGGCGACGGGAGTTGAGGTTGGAGTTTGTGGGGATGTGGGGTGAGGGACGTTTTGAGGTGGGGGTGGTATTGTGGTACGTTGGTTGAAATTGTGAAATTCGGCGGTGGGGGCGGTGTGGTGGCTCTGATTGGGGAAGTGGGATTGGGTTTGGGTGTTAACGGTTGCGGTTGTGGATTGGGGCTGGGGTTTGGGGGTTCAGGTTTGGAGGATTAAAATAAATTTTTTTTGGGGGGGTGGGGGTGTTGAGTTTGGGGGTTGGAATTTGGGGCTTAGGTTTTGAGTTTTAGGGGTTGTATTTTCGGGTTGAATTTGGAGGTGTGGGGGGGGCGCGTGGGTGTGGAATTGGGGGTTATAGTTGGGCGGGGCAGGGGTGGTGGTTTTGGGGCGCTGAATTTTTGGGTTGTCATGTTTCGGTCTTGAAGTTGGGTGATCGGGGCGGGGGGGTTGGGGGGGTGGGGGGGTGAGAGGCAGGGAGTGGGGGGGGGTCCGGGAGCTGATGGTTTTGGGGTTGAAGTTCCAGGGTAGGTTTGGGGTTTGGGGAATTGAGGTTTTTTTTGGGGGGGGTTACCATTAACAGGTGGGGAGAGTTTTTTTTGGGGGGGTTGGTGGTGGGGAATTATTGTTGGGGGGCGGGTGGGGGGTGTATTCGGGTTGTGGTGGGGATGGGGGTTAGGGGTGTGTATGTATGTATGTATGTGTGTATTTGGGGTTGGACAGTGGGTGTGAAGGGCTTTGCTGTGAGGGGGAGGACCTGTTTGTGTGTGTGTGTGTGTGTGAGGGGGAGGGCCTGTGTGTGGGTGTGTGTGTGTGTGGGTGAGGGCCTGTGTGTGGGTGTGTGTGTGTGTGTGTGTGAGGGCCTGTGTGTGGGTGTGTGTGTGTGTGTGAGGGCCTGTGTGTGGGGGTGTGAGGGCCTGTTTGTGTGTGTGTGTGTGTGTGAGGGCCTGTGTGTGGGTGTGTGTGTGTGAGGGGGAGGGCCTGTGTGTGTGTGTGTGAGGGCCTGTGTGTGTGGGTGTGTGTGTGAGGGGGAGGGCCTGTGTGTGGGTGTGTGTGTGTGTGTGTGAGGGGGAGGGCCTGTGTGTGTGGGTGTGAGGGGGAGGGCCTGTGTGTGTGTGTGTGTGTGGGTGTGTCTGTGTGTGTGTGAGGGCCTGTGTGTGGGTGTGTGGGTGTGAGGGGGAGGCCCTCCCTGAGCGGCCGGTAGGGGCGCGCGGCACTGGGCGGTGACTGGTCGGGGCAGTATGTCCGGGCCCCCGCGCGCCGCCCGCCTGGCGCTGCACCTGGCGCTGCTGCTCTGGTATCTCTTCATCCTGAGCCGCAACCTGGGCCTGAGCGAGCGGCACCCGGGAGCCGCCACCTACGGCGGCCGCTGGAAGTACCTGACCTTCCTGGACCTGGTGAGTCAGGCCCAGGGCCCAGGGCCCAGGCCGCGGCCTCGCCTCCCGGCAGCTCCCGGCCCCGCCCGCGCCACCCGCCTGTGCCCCCCCCACCCCCCGTGACACCCTGTGCCCCCCCCATGACACCCTGTGCCCCCCCCAGTGACACTGACACCCTGTGCCCCCCCCAGTGACACCCTGTGCCCCCCCCCCACCCCCCCCGTGACACTGACACCCTGTGCCCCCCCAGTGACACTGACACCCTGTGCCCCCCCCGTGACACTGACACCCTGTGCCCCCCCCAGTGACACTGACACCCTGTGCCCCCCCCAGTGACACTGACACCCTGTGCCCCCCCCAGTGACACTGACACCCTGTGCCCCCCCCATGACACCCTGTGCCCCCCCCGTGACACTGACACCCTGTGCCCCCCCCCAGTGACACTGACACCCTGTGCCCCCCCCGTGACACTGACACCCTGTGCCCCCCCCAGTGACACTGACACCCTGTGCCCCCCCCCACCCTGTGCCCCCCCCCAGTGACACTGACACCCTGTGCCCCCCCCGTGACACTGACACCCTGTGCCCCCCCCCCAGTGACACTGACACCCTGTGCCCCCCCCAGTGACACTGACACCCTGTGCCCCCCCCCAGTGACACTGACACCCTGTGCCCCCCCGTGACACTGACACCCTGTGACCCCCCCCGTGACACTGACACCCTGTGCCCCCCCCAGTGACACTGACACCCTGTGCCCCCCCAGTGACACTGACACCCTGTGCCCCCCCCCAGTGACACTGACACCCTATGCCCTACAACAACAACAACAACAAGATTCCATTTATAGAGCCCCTTTCACGTCAGGAGGACGTCCCAAGGCGCTGCACAGTTGGCTCAGGACCCGAGCATTGGGGGGAAATGGTCAGGGTGAGGGGAGGGAGGAGGGAAAGGGAGGGGAGGGAGGGAGGGAGGGAAATTGTCAGGGTGAGGGAGGGAAGGGAGGGAGCGAGGAGGGGGAATGTCAGGGGAGGGAGGGAGGGAGCGAGGAGGGGGAAGAGAGTCGAGAGGGGAGCTGAAGGCACGGTCAAAGAGAAAGGTTTTGAGACCGGCCTTGAAGGAGGAGAGGGAGGAAGCGGCGAAGGCACTGGGGATGGAGTTCCAGAGCCTCGGGGCTGAGAGGCTGAAGGCCCGACCACCGATGGTAGGGCGGTTGGGGCGGGGGACGTGGAGCAGACCGGAGCCAGAGGAACGGAGGGTACGGGCAGGTAGGTAGGGGGATAGTAGGTCGGAGAGGTAGGAGGGAGCGAGGCCGTGAATGGCCTTGTAGGTGAGGATGAGGATCTTGAAATCAATCCTCTGGGGGATGGGGAGCCAGTGGAGGGAGCGAGGGGGGGCGAGCGAGGGTGGGAGTGATGTGGTCGCGGTGTCTGGTGCGGGACAGTACACGAGCTGCAGAGTTCTGAATGACCTGCAGTGTGGAGGGAGGTGGCGGGAAGGCCGGCGAGGAGAGAGTTCCCATAGTCCAGCCTTGAGGTGACAAAGGCGTGGACCAGGGTTTCAGCAGCGTGAGGGGTGAGGTAGTGCCGTAGTCTGGCGATGTTCCGGAGGTGATGGAAGGCGGTGCCGGTTGTGGTGCGGATGTGAGGGAGAAAGGACAGCTCAGGGTCGAACAAGACGCCGAGGTTCCTGACTGGCTTTGAGAGGTGGAGAGTGCTGATGGTGTCGGCGCCTGAGGTGCGGAGGCGCTGACGTGAGCCAATCAGGAGGGCCTCGGTTTTTCGCACGTTGAGCTGAAGAAAGTTGTCTCTCGTCCAAGACTCGATGTCGGACAGGCAGCTGTCAGGACATCGGTGGTCGTGGAGTTGAGAGTAGAGGAGGAAAGGTAGAGTTGGGTGTCATCCGCATACATGTGGAAGTTAACTCCATGTCTGCGGATGATGTCACCACAGGGGGAGCATATAGAGGGTGAAGAGGAGGGGACCGAGGACAGAGCCCTGAGGGACACCACATGAGACAGTGCGGGGGGTGGAGGAGAAGCCATTTGTCGAGACAAAGTGAAGACGGTGAGAAAGGTACGACCTAAACCACTCAAGGACAGTGCCTTGAAGGTTGAGGTGGGAGGACAAGCGGTGGAGTAGGATAGCGTGGTCGACCGTATCGAATGCTGCCGATAGGTCGAGGAGGACGAGGAGACAGAGGGAGCCCTGGTCACAGATGGTCAGGATATCATTGGTGACCTTGACCAGGGCAGTTTCTGTGCTATGGGCAGCACGGAAACCTGACTGAAGGGGTTCGAAAAGTGAATGGGTGGAAAGGAAAGAGCGCAGTTGGGAGGCGACAACTCTTTCCAGGACCTTGGAGAGAAAGGGGAGGTTGGAGATGGGCCGGTAGCTTGATAGCTGCGACGCATCAAGGGAGGGTTTTTTCAGGGTGGGCGTGATGGTGGCAGTTTTTAAGGGAATGGGGACAGAGCCAGAGGAGAGGGACAGGTTGACGATGTCGGTGATATGTGGGGCAAGAAAGTGGAGCTGGGAGATAAGGAGTGGAGTGGGGATGGGGTCAAGGGAGCAGGTGGTTGGTTTCAGGGATAGGATGAGTTTGGTGACAGAGGGTGGGGAAACGGGTACAAAAGTGAGTAGGGGAGGATGGGTAGCAGTCGGAGTGTGGGAGTGAGGGGGGGGGTTGGTGGATGTTGGAGGGGAAGTGACCGCGGAGCGAATTCCCTTGATCTTGGATTCAAGGAAATCCAGCATCTCCTCGCAGTGAAGGTTGGAGGAGATGACCTGCGCGGGGTGGCGGGGGGGACGGAGGAGTCGGGTTGTGGTGGAAAACAGTAGCCTGGGGTTGTTCTTCGCCTCCAGGATTATCCTGGAGTAGAAGGACGACTTGGCCGAGGCTAGAGTGGAGCGGTAAATTTTGAGGAGGTCCAGCCAGATTTGTCGGTGGACCGTTAGGCCAGATTTGACACAGGTGCGTTCAGCAGCCCGCACCTGGCTTTTCAGTGAGCGGAGGTGGGTGGTTTACCAGAGGGAGGAGCGGGAGTAGGAGACAGTATGCCCTACTGTGACACTGACACCCTGTGCCCCCCACTGTGACACTGACTCCCTGTGCCCCCCACTGTGACACTGACACCCTATGCCCCACTGTGACACTGACACCCTGTGCCCCCCACTGTGACACTGACTCCCTGTGCCCCCCACTGTGACACTGACACCCTATGCCCCACTGTGACACTGACACCCTGTGTCCCCCACTGTGACACTGACACCCTGTGCCCCCTGTGCCACTGACACCCTGTGCCCCCCGTGACCGACCCTGTGCCCCCACCGTGACGCTGACCCCGTGTCCCCCGTGATGCTGACCCTGTGCCCCCCCGTGACACCGTCACTCTCTGCCCCTCCCACCTCCTGTGACACTGGTAATGTGCGTGACTCAGCCAGGCTGGTGTGAAGCACGGACGCGCTACTTTTCCCCGCGTGCTAAGCGGGTTCTCCTTGAAGGTGACCAGCCTGGCAACGGAATGTCGGAATTGGCCATCCCTCTGTGATGATCTCTAGTCCGGTTCCTGTTCCTGAGCCCAGGCGGGTCCGCAATATTCCAGGGCACTGCTGATCACAGCACAGCCTGGAAGATTAGACCAGTCACTGGGGGCAGGGAATCATCCCACTGAGCTCCTGTTAACCAAAGCCCTAATGGGTAGATGGTCCTCGCTGGACAAGCAGCGGGAAAGCAGCAATAGCAGTGGCAAACGATGTGCTTTTAGCTGCGTAGACTCCAGCAGTTACCCCAATGCACACTCTGAGGTCCCCAAACCTAGGTTCTTACCAACCTGCGCCTAACTCTCTCTGGAATTAGGTAAGCAGTGTAAGCAGTGTGTCCCTCCAGGGAGAGAGTGCACATTCCATTCCAACAATCTATCTCTGGAATTTCGATGTGTAGGTGGGATGCGTGGAATTATCTGTTTGGTTTGTAAACTCTTAAGCATGGTGATGGGTTTTCGCATGTGTTAGACACCCGGCTGACCAGCTTGTGACGAGCTCAAGCAGGTATTGGATGTTCTATGAGGGCCTCTGTCACTGCAATCCCTGGCAGATCCCAACCTCTCTGACCTGCTTATTTCCCGATCCACGACCCATCGCCTCTGCTCCACTGGCTCTAGTATCCTGCTCATGCCCTCCACTCCACCACTAGTGGCCGTGCTTTCAGCCACGACCCGGAAACTCTGGAACTCTCTCCATCAATCCCTCCGTCTTGCCTCCTCCTTCTCCATCTCAAGACCTTTCTCTTCAGCTTATGGTCACCCCTCTGCATCACCACCGCCTCCTGGCTTCGCTTCAGGCTCTGCCACTGTCAAGCGCTCTGATACACTAACACACGTGAAGGGAGCAATATAAATGCAAGTTGTTGTTGTTGTTGCAAGACAGGGGCTATATCTCTCTCTTTTCTCGCTCCTAGGTCCTGCAAGCCATCTTCTTTGGGATCTGTGTGCTCATGGACCTGCTGGCTTTGGCAGCCAAACGTGGGCGGAGGCTTCAGAGCCTGGCCCAGCACGTGAACACGCTACAAGACCGGATATTCACAAACCTGGCCTTCCCCGTGGGCTCTGTGAGTAACCCCCACCCGAGGCCCTCAGCCCCTCCCCGCACAGCAGCAGGACCCCGGGTTCGGTCAGCCGATACATGGAGACACCCATCATTAAGAGTATCCAACCCACTAGAGACCGAACAGAGGGTGGAATCGATGGCAATAGTCTGTTGCTGAGCTCATCACATGGAGCCTCATGGAGGGGCGGTGGTTTAGTATTGGGGTGGCTGCGTTGAGGGGGGGGAACAGTATGACAGTGTGGGGGGCACTAACATCATATTTTGTTGTGTTACAGTTTGTGGTGCTGAGTTTCTGGCTCCTCTATGTCTATGATCGGGAGCTGGTTTACCCCAGAGAGATGGACGACATTATTCCCCAGTGGCTGAACCATGCAATGGTGAGCATCAGAGAATCCTGCATCTGCGGCTTCTGAATAAGCCATGTATTCTGTATCTTGATAACTCCCACTCCCCCTGTTCCCACCGCCGGCTCAGTGTTTTCCCACAACTGCTTTCTCCCAACCCCACTGACCTCTCGGCCTCTCTTGCAGCACTCTGTGATCCTGATGCCGCTGCTAATGGAGGTCTGGCTGGTGTCACATCACTACCCATCACGGGTGAGCGGCCTGGTCATGCTCTCAGCGTTCTGCTCTCTTTACTTAATCTGGTGAGTGAGCGCACTTCTCTCCTCCACAGTCGTCTGCTCTCAACACACACAGTAACACAGAGACACACGTGTGCACGGTAGCACACATGCACACGCGAACATCCATATGCGTGTGAAGTAAAACACAGTCTCGCGCACAGTAACAAGGGGGTGAGTGCCACAGGGCGGGGGGGTGAGTGCTTCAGTGCGGGGGGTGAGTGCCTCAGTGCGGTGGGGGGTGAATGCGGCACTGCGGGGTGTGAGTGCGTCAATACCGTGAGTGATTTGGGGGTGGCAGTGCTGTAGGCCAATACAGTGCTGGTCTCACACTGACTGAGCTAAGCTGTGCTGTTCTTTCACAGGGTGATGTGGATTCACTCTGTGTCGGGAATCTGGGTCTACCCCATCCTGGCTAAGCTCAACCCTGTCGCCAAGGTCGTCTTCTTAGCAGTAGCTGTTATTTCAACAGCCCCACTGTATCTCCTAGGGGAGAAACTCGAGCACATCAGATGGGGTAAGTGAGCTAACGATTCCCACTCACTCCCGATTCCACGTTTGTTTGACGTTTGTTGAGGCAGAATCCGCTGGGATCGCAGGGCACCACTGCCAGCTGGACTGACAGGCTTTTTACACAGAATAGACTTCATAGAATTATACAGCACCGAAGGAGGCCATTCGGCCCATCATGTGTGTGCCAGCTCTTTGTAAAAGAGCTACTTCTATCTTAAAAGTTGTTATTGCATCGGCTTCCACCGCCCTTTCAGGCAATGCATTCCAGATCCAAACAACTCGCTGTGTGAAAAAACTTCTCACCTCCCCTCTGTTTCTTTTAACAACGATTTTAAATTGGTGTCCCCAGTTACCGATCCACCCGCCAGTGGCAATAGTTTCTCATTCTTCATCCTATCGAATCCCCTCATAATTTTGAAAACTTCTATTAAGTCTCTTAGCATTCTCTGCTCCAAGAAGATTAATCCCGGCTTCTCTCGCCTCTCCTGATAATGGAAGTCCCTCATTCTTGGTATCATCCTGGTAAATCTCCTTTGCACCCTCTCCAATGCCTTGACATCCTTCCTAATTTATTATTCATGTGTGGTGCCCAGAACTGAACATAGCCTCCAGCTGAGGTCTAACCAGTGTTTTAAAAGGTTTATCATAACTTCCTGACTTTTGTACTCTATGCCCCTGTTTATAAAGCCTAGTGCCCGATATGTTTTTTTAACAGCTTTATCTCCCTGTCCCGCCACCTTCAAAGATTTACTTATATGAACCCTCAGGTCTCTCTGTTCCTTCACCCCCTTTAAGATTGTACCATCAGCTTATATCGCCTCTCATCATTCTTTCTCCCAAAATGCTTCAATTTGCATTTCTCCATATTAAACTTCATCTGCCCCGTGTCTGCCCACTTTACCAGAATGTCTATGTCCATTTGCAGTTTGCTACTATCCTCCTCACTGTTAACTACGTTTCCTAGTGGTCCAGCCAAATCTGGCGGTTGGATTTGAGCCAGGTGCGTTCAGCAGCACATACCTATGACTTGAGGGAGAGGAGGGGGATCCCAGGAGTAAGAGCCGGTGTGGGATGTGATAAGGGTGACAGTGTTGAGAATTAACAATTAATTTTTTAAAAATCCAAAGTTTTATACATTTTAAGCTTTGTAGACAATGTTCTTAGGGCTAAGACTAGGATCAATTGTGGGGGTCAAATCCCCCCCTTTAGTGCCAGTAAGAGAATTTCATGCCGCTAATCAGCAAGCACAGCTTGGTAAAAGACAGCTCATGCTCGAATAATATTGTAACAGAATTGTTTGGAGAATGTCACAGCATTCATAGATGTATTGAACACAAATAAATTACAGCCTGGGAACAGTTGAGTTCATAATTAATAGCCTCAATCTTTCACTTTAATAGTGAATTTAATGTTATTTTATTTCATTGTAGGTAATGTGCACTGGACTCAGAAAATTAAATGAAAGCCTTTCTGTACAATGACCAGATGCGGGCTCAAAATGATTTTGTATCCTTGATTCTCCGATTAGCAACTATTGTAATGAACTCCATCCTTCGCTATGGCATGGACTTGCCTTGCTCTCCCTGTTTTGTTGCTTTTAAACAAAGTTAGAAATACAGAAATGTGTAGGTAACTAAAGATCCTCCTCTTCGACCCGTGCCCTCAGTCACCCTCCTACCCCTACCCTCCCTGCCCTCCACCCTTCCTGATCCCAACCACCAGCTTGGGTGCGGATCCCTGACTGTCCAGCGCCTTGGGACGTCCTCCTAATGTGAAATGCGCTAAACAAATGTAATTTGTTGTTGTAGCAGTGTGACCAACCGTAACCATTCCTACTCAGGTCCATCCACATCCCACCTCAATCCCAACTTTTAATTGTGTTGGTAATGTTCAAAGATCAGGCAGGGAATTGGTGTCTAAGAAAGATCTTTATAGAAAAAAACAAGCTTCAATTGTACTGGAGATTCAAGCACAGCTCTGACTGTCCACAGTTCCAGGACCTGACCAACGATTTTTAAATAAAATGATTTGAGAAATTTATTTTTTAAGAAACAATATTGTAATTTTTTTTAAAAAGAAGAAAGGCCTGATGACAAGGACTGGATGACTCAGGCTCAGGGTGCGCGTGTCTCTCTGTGTGTTTGGGTCTGGACCTCTCCCTCTCAAGCTCAATGTCTCTCTTTCTCTATCTATCAGGATTTGCATCCCTCTCAGCATATCTTTTTCATTGTCTCCCAGAGTCTGTGTCTTTCAGAGCTTGAGTCTCTGTCTTGTGTTTGTCTGTTTCTCTCTCAGGGTCTCTGTCTCTCTTATGGTCTCTCTCAGCGTCTGTGCCTCTCTGAGGGTTTGCTTTTCTCAGAGTTTCTCCCTCGCTCAGGCTCTGCGTCTTTCTTGCTCTCATGGTCTTGTTAAATACTACACAACTTAGAAAGAGGCATCTCTGCCAATGCCAGGATCCAGCCAGAGGGCTCTGATATGTGAGCTTGCCTATAACTACACGGTAAAAATCATGTGAAGCACTTTGAAATGACTTCATTTGCTCCATATCAAATATAAGGATTATGATTACTAGATGCATTTAGAATCTTGGCTGCAACCGGGGTAACAGTGGCAACTCAATATACCAGGATGGTATATTGTTTTTATAAAGGAAATGAAAGAAGGACAGGAGAAAGCGTACTAATGAAAGGCTGAGTGGCATTAGCACATGGAATCAGAAAACAAGGAGGTTATAATGGGAGATTTTAACTTGGATCTTGATTGGAAGAAGAATAATAAGTGAGAGCAAGATAGATTCAATGTCTTCAGGATAATTTGCTGCAAGATGTCTTAAAATGATTTTTAAAACCATTCTCTGTTTACAGCTAATCAACTAGGAATACTTCATTTGGCAGTAAGGGAAGGTCTTGTTAATCATAGAATCACACAACACAGAGGAGGCCATTCGGTCCATCGTGTCTGTGCCCGACTCTTTGAAAAGAGCTGCCCAAATCAATCCCACTGCCCCGCGCTCTCCCCACAGCCCTGCAGACCTGCCCTCCCCAAATAATTATCAACTCTCTTAAAAGTTGTGATCGAATCGGCGTTGAATAAATAATAAGTAATCGGCAAGTTCATAAGATAGCTCTTACGTTTATTTGATAGTGAAACAGCCGCCGCCAGTTTTAGGTCCCGGGAAGGAACGGGAGGGTTTTGCTGACAATGGATAAAACTAGGATTCTGACTTACGAGGAGTGCGAAAAGATGACATAAATGTAGTTATGTATAAATATATATATATATATATATATATATACATAATGCATTTCGTTTCAATGTGTGGGAGGACATCCCAAAGGGCTGAACAACATTGGTTGGACGGTCAGGGGGTGGAAAGATGACCTGAAGGGTCATCAAAGACGTTACTCTTGTGACAGACCCTTCAACAAGTGACTGGAACAGACACAGCTCTTGATGTACACAACAAGGGGTGAACCCCCCCCTAAAAGGCGCAGGTGGTATTGGCGAGGTCCAATAACCAATGGCGACTGCAGCTGCGCGTGGGGCGGGATTTATGTCGGCCAAACCCCCTACCCCACCCTTTAATGGGAAGGAGTGACGTCAGGGAGGCGGAGTCACAGAGGAGCTACCGCCAGTCACGTGGCGGCCCCGGAAGTGGAGGCGCAGTGTGGCGGTGGCGGCACGTGGAGCGGCCGCGGCGAGAGGCTGTGATCGCGGGCGGCGGGCGGGGGTGGGGGAGGGGGGAGGGTGGACGCCATGGCTCGGCCAGCGCCGGTCACAGCGTGAATGGCTTCAGCTTCCCACAGCGTGGGGGAGCCCCGCACCGGCACCGGCACCGCCCAGGTGCGGAGCGCGGCAGCTCGGGCAGTCCGGGCAGTGCCGGGGGCTCGGGCAGAGCCGCCCCACACGCGTTACGCGGGGTTCAAGCAGCAGATCCGGCACGTTCTCGGCTGGAAGAAAATCCTGAATCAGCAGATGCCTTCCCCGGGAGGCGAGGCAGCGTACGGGGGTCAGTCCCACACTCACCGGCCCGGCCCGGATCAGAGGGTGGGATCGAAGCAGAGTGACCAGAGCCTGGGGTCTGAGCACAGCAAACCGCTGGCCCCGAGTCAGGGCAGCGCATCAGATACCTGTGTCCAACCTGCCCCGGGTCACAGGGCCGGACCAGAGCAGAAAAGCCGGCCTGGCCTGGACCAGAGCTCAGGGCCCGGGACCGACAGCCAACCCGCACTGGATCCGGTGTCGGCGTCGGAGCACAGTTACCAGCCTGTACTGGTTCGGGAAAAGGGTACAGAACTTGGCAGTCAGGCTCTCCCGGATGAGAACGGAGAGTCGGAGCACAGTGGCCAGCCCACCCGGGATCAGGGCATGGAATCGCAGGCCAATAACCAGGCAGCTCTGGACCAGAGGCCGGTATTAGGGGCCAGTAATCAGCCTGTCCTGGAACAGAGCATTGGGTCAGTGAAACAGTACAGGTTTCTTATCAGTGGGAATGCTGGATCTCTGAAGCAGTTCCCGCCTGTTAGGTCAAAGCTGGTTCAGGAAGTGAATTTGGAATCCGAGCAGCAGGTCCCGCATATTGTGGACCCAAATACAGAACCAGAACAGCAATCCCCATCTGTGCAGACACAAGACCTTAGGTCAAAGCAGCATAACTGGCTTCGGGATGTGAAGTCAGTCCAACACATACCGCCTTCCATGGGAGGGAACAAGAGGTCACAGCAGCGCATTCAGCCTTTTAAGTACCATTTCCGGCCTGTCCTTGCTCATAGCACAGGGTTAGAGCACCAGATCTTCTTTACTCTGACCCGGAACCTGGGGTACATTTCAGATCTGTACAATAGTGTGAATCTCATCCAAGAGAATCAGCAGCCAGGCCCAGGAGATGGATCGTATATCAGTCCGGGTAAGAGAGACTCTGTCCGTTGGCCAGTTGTGAGAAAGCGGGCAAAATCCTGCCCAGGGTCTCCCGAACGGAAAACAAAGCGAGGCAACAGGGTGAGATTTGCTGACTCGCTTGGGTTAGAGTTAGCTGTAGTTCGAAGTTATAGCTTAGCAGATGAGCCAGAAATTCCTGCACATGTCTTATCTAGTCTTGGTGGCAGGAGCAATGATGACAACAAGGTGTGGGTACAGTCCTTTAAGCCAAGTTTCCCAGCGCCTATGGAAGCAGCAAATTTCCTTGAACGACTACGGAAGCAGCAGGTTTGTTTGGAGAGAGTATCCGAATCAGATCTAATCATCAGTGGGACCATTCTGGTCTTGAACATGGCATTTGAAAAAGATGTTACTGTCCGATATACCTGCACCAACTGGAATCTCTTCTCTGATGTTCCTGCTCTGTTTGACAAGAGCCTCGGCAACAACACAGACCGCTTCACTTTTACTCTGAGTCCATCAGTTTATATGCTGGAGCCAGGCTCCTGCCTTGAGTTTGCTATTAGGTATTCAGTCAATGGAGTGCATTTCTGGGACAACAACAATGATATCAATTACAAGATGATCTATAACATTTATCGGGTCAGTGAATCAGTGTCAAACAGCCAGAGTACCTCAGCCAGTTTTGTCTGAAAATGGATCATTAGAAATACTTGTTACAGCCAGGAACTGTTGGGGAAAATAACGTGGGAGAGGGGGACAACAGAGATATCTTTCCCTGGGGGAAGGGGAGATCCAAACTCCAGGGAAGCACATGAGATTCCTAGACACTGGTAATAAATTAGAATAGCAGACATGAAGCTAAACATTGCTGAACAAATGATCTTTGAATCAACAGGACAATTATAAACCCGGTGTCTGAATTTAGCTGACACTGAAAAATACATAGCAAAAGCTACTAGACTTGTCTGGAATTGACTATGACTGGGCAAGGCAGTAATAACCACCTTAAGAAAAGAGAACTTCAAAATAGGACAGAAAATATTAACCAATAGTAAATAGTGCTCACAGGAGAAAATAGGTACATTCAATGTGAAACTTGATTTAATTAATACTGAGAACTATTCAGTTGCTGGATAAATTAACTGAACCTGTGCTGCTTTAAGTGATTTTTCTCTTCTGCACCTTAGCAGGCTCCAATCTAGGGCGAAAGATGCTGGTGGGAGTACATTTGTCACACAGCATTTGTTAGTATTAGATACCCTCTTAATGAAAAACACGGGATGATTACACATTTTGATGTTGAAATTGATAATTAAAATGTTAATTGCTTCAGTGAGGGTCTCGCAATACTTATTTAGACTAACTCCAATAAAGCCAACTCAACCCAACTTTGACTGAAGGTAGTAAAGTACATTATGTGCTGCAGATGTGTGTGGCAGTGTGCAGGGTATGTCAAGACCTTTTACAATTTCATATTTGTACTTCATTTATTTTCAGACCTTTCCCTAAATCCTTTTGAAATACCGATTTGCAGGATTTCTTGCTCAGACATTGGCACAAGAATTTTCAGGCATTTGATAAAGTGACTTGTTGAATATATTCTACACACACTAATATATTTCTGATAAAGCCCGTGACACTAGTGGTATGTGCCTCACAAACCATTAGTGTACATTTTATTTTATTTAATAAAATTTAGAAAAAGATGTTGCAATTTCTTGTAGCTTCCGAAAGTGTTAAATCCTGTGAGGATCTTGGCACCAAAGAGATGTTTTTTTAAATGACGTAAGCTGCATGCATCCAGGTGCCTGAAACCACTCGTAAAACTCAAACATCTTTTCTCTCTCAAAACATCCAGAAAAATTATGTAAAAAAAAACACAAAATACTGCAGATGCTGGAATCTGAAACAAAAACAGAGAGAGCTGGGAAAGTGATTTAATGGCTCCAATAGAGAGTGTGTGTTATGGCCATAATATGGTTCAATATTTGTGTTGCCTCTATAAGCCTATCAGTAACAAGAAAGCTCCAGCACCCAAGCAATGAAAACCACAAACACACCAATGAACAATTGCTGCTCATAAATGCCATCCACGACAAGCAGTCTGAATGGCCAAAGTTGGCTCCTGAGGTGGAATCACAGTTGTAATTACTCCTGTTGTAATCGTTTTGAGGTAACGAAGGTAGGAATGTACAGGACCAGAAACAAATTGTAGTCCTTGTGATTATACTCTTTAATCACTTTTCTAATGTCACTGCCATCTGCAGTTTGTTACAATCAGCAACCTGAAGCTTTACAGGACAGGTTCACATGAATAAGGGCATTTTGGCTTTTTGATCCAGAGGTAATTGTGCTAACAACTAGGCCAAACTGACATCCAATGCAACTAACTACATTATTATCCATTAGCATTGTAAACGACATTCTCATAATATAGTTTGTAAGGTACTTTGGTATAGCACTGGCTGGTGTATCTCACGTGTGGTATGATTTTGGTGACTGTCTAGGTTCCTACACACAGCTGACATCTGGAAACACTGGCGAGTGTGGTTACTGGCTTTCTTTCTACGGCAGGAAGGGAAGTCAGCCAAACCTGATAAACTGCGAGGCAGGCATTTTTGTAATGTGCCCTGTTGCAACATGGGGACTAATTTTATGGGCCCAAACAATTATAATGGGAGTCTGATTGTATTGTATTAGTGACTAAGTTTTTGCCTATTAAGTCAGCTTCCTTCACCACGTGCTTTCTGCACAAGTTAAAGTGTAGTGCATTCATTCCACTAATCTTTGCAATTTGAAAGAACACATGAGCAGAAACGCCTTTCGAATAGTGCACAGGATCTTTAATGTCTGCCTGAACAGGATACAGGTCCTCAGTGTAACATCTCAATCACTCCAGTGCAGTGCTAGGGGAGTGCTATATTGCTGAGCCAGTCTACACTATGAGCTCAAAGCTACAATATCTGCCATGAACTTTCTGACTCAGAGTAGTAAGAGTGCTGAGCCAAACTGACACTCGAAATATTTTACATTATGAACCACTTTCCCCTGGTATTTTTTTCAAATCCCAGAACTAAGTTGGCAGCTCTAACATAACCAATATGTTCCAAAATGTTTGTTTCAAAGACACAAAACAACTGTTCTCAAATGTTTTTTTCCCGGAATTATCTCATATGAAGATTGAATCTTCAATTGAAATGACAACTCAAATCTCTGAAACTTGTCACTTTCCTCCAGTGTAGCTGACAGCAAAATAATTTACCCAGAGTGTACAACAGGCACCATGTGGCTGAGAATGTTACTGTGAGTTTGAGAGCATGTAAAAGGGCTATGACACGTGACAGAGTGAGGTAAGAGTGTGTGAGGCTGAAAGCGTGTGATGGGACCATGTGGCTGAGAGCATATAACAGATCGTGACTGAAAGCAAGACTGTTATAAAGTCTTGACAGAAAGTGAGTGATGAATTGTATGACACTGCATAGCTTAGAACATAAAACAGGACCATGTGATTTGAGACAGTGTGACAGGAGCTGTGTGACTGGATACATCTGCATTACAGCACATTACAGTGTGTATCAGTTACATCCTCTGTCGTTGTATTCAAGGCAAGAAATCTTAAGAATTATTACCAATGGGAAAAAAAACAATAATAAATTGGTCATTTTCAGTCCACGACTGTTTGTGGGACACTGCCTTACGCAACTGGCTGCCGCGTTTCGCCCACAAATATACAGTCAATTCACTTTACGGTCTATTCTGTGAAGCGCTTTGAGATGTCGAGAAGACGTGAAAAGCTCCATATCAAATGCGAGGATTATTATTGTGACTGAATGAATGTACTACAGCATGATGCTTGGGGCAGGTGAGTGACAGTGTGTGATAATTTTGTATTACTGTGTGGTATATACAGTAGCCTGATGCCTTGTATTAGTGTGTATTACAGTGTATTAGGCTGATGATGAAACAAGGATACAGGTGCACAGGGTCTTCCTTTCCAGTGTTGATGGCAGTCACTGCTACTTTCTTTGCGTGTGAAGTGGTTTAAAAAGCTGCCACAATTGCTTTTTTCTGTCATTTATACATCCTATAAAAGCAATAGATATACAGAGAAGCAATAAAGCAGAGCAATCACTGTAAGAACAATAGGAGTTGAACTGCAAGGCAAGAAATCTAAGAATTATTACCAATGGGAAAAAAAAGCTTTTCACAGACAGCGTTCTTAAAATGTGGAATATTTCACCACCAATACCTATAGGTTCGAGTGCACAACAGGAATTAACAATAGTATCTCAAAGCGCTTAACAAAATTAAATTAATTAGCAAATGCATGCTGGAAGTATCTGGACTTCACTAAAGTCTGCTGTCGTGCCCAGGCAAATCAGATGTCCTTCTTGCTCACTTAAGAGTCAGAAGCTTGTGGGTTCAAGCTCTGCGTTGGAATTTTTGAATTCACACAATCTTATTTCAAAATAAAATCATGTGAAAAGCTTTGAGATATGTCAACAGCAACAAATTACATTTATATAGCGCCTTTCACTTCGGGAGGAGGTGCTGGATAGTAAAAGATTGTCACCCGAGTTGGGGGTTGAGATCAGGAGGGGTGGAGGGCAGGGAGGGTGGGGTGGGAGGATGACCAAAAGCGCGGTCAAAGGGGAAGGTCTTGAGATGGGCCTTGAAGGAGGCACCTTCACCCTCTTTAATTCTTCTCAAGATTTATCTTAAATTATGTCCTCATAGAAATTCGCTGCACAGAAGGCCATTCAGCCCATCGTGTCTCTTAAGAGCAATCCTTTCAGTCCCACTTTCCTGTCCATTCCCTAAACTCCTTTTTGGATGTTTTATCTAGTTTTCTTTTTTTTGAGCTTGGGGGATTGTTATAAAAATAGCAGAAAATGAAAGAGGTAAAAGAAGTTGCATTCTGGTATTACCCAAATGAGTGTTAGCAACGAAGTTGGTGCCTACAATGGAGTCCAGGTTTGCATCATCACTGAAGACAGGACCATCATTCCACATCAGGTCAAATCCTCCAACCCGCTTCTCCTTTCCTGAAAGTCTGGAAATAGGCATCAAACATCAGATGGAAATAACAGCAACAAAGAAACCAAGGTTTGTTTAATAAAGACATCCTTGTTATGTGTCAATATTGTATCACTGGCCTCTATTTTTTAGACATATCTACAACTTCAGAACTGTTTGACATTCATTTTTTTGTTTAGTTTGTTTTTGTACAAATAAAATCTCCCTTTATTAATAATAATGATCATTGCGTTTGATATAGAGCCTTATGACTCTTGAGACATCTCAAAACGCTTCACAGGTTACACTGTAAAGTGCAGTGCCTGTGTATTTTGATGGTGAAACGCTATCAGTGTGCCGCAAACAGACTTGGAATGAGTGACTAATTTTATTTAGGGGATATACTGGCCAGGACAATAAGAGAGAGAAACTCCTCTTAGAATAGTGCCTATTACCCTAGACTGACATTCCAGTGAGGGAATACTGCATTGTTAGAGGTGCCGTCCTTTGGACAATGTGGTAAACTGAGGGCTTTTTTTTAAAAAAATTGTAAAATAAAAACTATCACTACGCTTTGTAGCAACAACCTATAAAGCCCTTAGAGGCGCCCCAATTTAATAGATACTATCAAATTTAAGGATTAGTTTTAACTGTTCCTGGAACTCACCTTCCCTCCATATCAATGACATGCACTGTGTCTTCCAGGAGACGGCACTTCAGCTCATAATCCTCCTGGCTGGTAGCTATTAGCGATGGGGAAGCATTCACTTCTAATAGCCACCTAAGGGAACAGAAGGACACTTAACTATCTCTAAAACAGGATATGGTTGATATTTCACCTGTGAACACCTGTACTAAACATCTGAATTAATGACATTCTAATAGATAATGTGTTAAAGGATACCTGTGCCTTAATGGACACCTGAGCAGTTGGAAAATTGGACTAATAGACACCTATGCCAGTGATCCATTGGTCCAGGTCTTGTTGGAATGTTATTTGTCGTTATTATTTACACATGAGAATAGCTTGCTATCAGAGGAAAATGGTAGCATGTTACAATAGGTTACTTAGCAATAGCATGAACTCTTCAGTTCCACATAACAATTTTTCTATTTCTCATTACCTTTTACAACCTATTGAGCCAATTCCTAATCCAATCAAATTACCATTAACTCAATGACTTTTAACCTCCCTTTCTACCTTCAGTTACTGGTTTGCTTCTAATAAACATGGAATCACTTTCCTAGATATAGCCTATACTTTCACACACTCACCTACAGTCAACCACACACTAACATTCAGTCAAATAATTCCTGATGTCCTATATCTAGTGGTTTATAACAATAACAGCTTGTATGCGGTGCCCTTTCTGTGGGATATCGTCTCAGACTCATTAACTGTGGCAGAGCCTGACACCAATGCTGGGGAAAGAAGGGAGCTGACCATAAATGCGATGTGAAGATAGGCCGGGGCCACAAGGTAGAGGACAGAATTTCAGAAGTTTCAGGGTATCGTGGCTGAAAGTAGTGCTGCTGTTGTTGGAGTGGATGGGACGAGGGACTTGTAGAAGGCCAGAGCCAGCTGAACGAGGGGGGGTGGGGGCATTGGTTAATCAACAACCCAACAAATACTTGGAAGCACTTAGCTTTTTTCTTAGTTAGCGCTACATTTAATATTTTCAGTCCCATTTGAGCCATTTGAATTTAATCTAAATTTCTGGACATAATTTGTATCCCAGAAGAGGGTGAATCAATAATATACTCAAGTATGTTTATTCCAACCTTACTCAAACACATAGATAAAAATATCCCAATACAATCTTACACACTTAGCATAACCTTCCCATCAGGTTTGACTTCCCCTACCACCGTGTGAAACATGCCCACAATTAGCACCCTATCAAACACACGGTTTAAGGTTCTGGTCGATGAGAATGTCGTATCCATAGAGCTCGAAGCAGTGCTTGTCATTGATGATCACATTCTGCACACTCTGCAGGCTCTTGATGAAGATGTTGTCGATTTCTCTGAAAAGGGTGGTTGCTGTCTCTGTGCCGTGCTTTGCAGTCAGATACTGTCGCAGCTGCTGCATCAACCATTTACAGCCCTAGGGGAAGGAACAAAGTCTGCTGTGAAGGATACTGTGAAGTGCTTTTTGCTGTACAGTTTATGGGTGAACTGCCCTAGCCAGGCAGCAATGTCCCGCAAACTGCCGTGAAGTGAATGACCAATTTTATTTGGGAGATTTGTTGGTCAGGACACGGGAGAAACTCCCTTCTTGACTAGTGCTATTGGATCGTTAATGTCCACCTGAACAGGCAGACATGGTTTAACATCTCACCTGAAGGACAGCACCTCCAACAATGAACAACAACAACAACTTGCATTTATATAGTGCCCTCCACGCCGGGTGGCATCCCAGAGCACTTAACAATTGCGGAGCTGAGCCAGGGTGAGGGGGAAGGTGACCATAGGCATGATCGAAGAGGAAGGTCTTCAGAAGGATCCTGAAAATGAGGAAAGAGGGGGTAGGGTGAAGGGATTGAGGGAGGAAGTTCCATAGCTTTGGGTCGTAGTGGCTGAAGGCACGGCCGCCAATGGTGATGTGGAGGATTCGAAGGATGAGGAGGCCAGAGCCAGTAGAGTGGAGGCAGCGGGTAGTGCTGTGAGGAGAGAGGAGGTTGGACAGCATCTCCAACAATAAAACACACCCCCAGCACTGGAGTGTCATCTTAGACTATGTCATAGAATCATAGAATTATACAGCACAGAAAGAGGCCATTCGGCCCATCATGTCTGTGCCGGCTCTTTGAAAAAAGCTATCCAAATCAATCCCACTACCCCACTTCCTCCCCATTACCCTGCAAAGTTGTCCTCGCCAAATAATTATCTACTTCTCTCTTAAAAGTGATTATCGGATCGACTTCCACCACCCTTTCAGGCAATGCATTCCAAATCCAAGCAACTCGCCGTGTGAAAAAACTTCTCCTCATTTCCCCTCTGTTTCTTTTAACAACTATTTTAAATCAGTGTCATCGGGTTACCGACGCACCACCAGTGGAAATAGTTTCTCTTGGTTCACCCTATCGAATCCCCTCATAATTTTGAAAACTTCTATTAAGTCTCCTCTTAACCTTCTCTGCTCCAAGGAGAATAATCCCGGCTTCTCTCGCCTCTCCTGATAACTGAAGTCCCTCATTTCTGGTACCATCCTGGTAAATTTCCTTTGCACCCTCACCAGTGCTTTGACATCCTCCCTAAAGTGTGGTGCCCAGAATTGAACACAGTCTCTCGCTGAGGCCTAACCAGTGTTTTATAAAGGTCCATCATAACTTCCTGACTTTTGTATTTTATGCCCCTATTTTTTTTTGGAGGGATTATTTACTATTTATAAAGCCCTTTACAAATATCCCTTTTCTAACAGATTTATCTATCTGTCCTACCACCTTCAAAGATTTACTCATATGAACTCCCAGGTCTCTTTGTTCCTTCACCCCCTTTAAGATTCTACCGTCTGGCTTGTATTGCCTCTCCTCATCCCAATATGTATCATTTCACATTTCTCCACATGTGATTTCAAATCCTGACGTGAGACTTGAACCCTCAACCTTGTGACTCAGAGGGGAGAGTGCTACCACTGAGCCAGACGGACACAGTTCTTCACAGATTCTTGAAAGACAGTGATGAGCAAAGGACATTAAGCTCCAAAGGCGAGCGCAGCATGAAACAGTTTGAAAAACGCTGTGCTAGATAAACCAAACTTATTGTCTTGCAGGTCCTCCACACAAATGTAATTTAGTACATTCACATCTAGTCACAGTGATGCAGTTTAATACAAACACTGATCCTGTAATTTTATTATCTTCTCCAATAGAACTTGCTTCCATTTCACATTCAGTACAGTAGGACTTACCTTCTCTGGATCATAGTCAGGAGCAGTCTTCTGCACTGCAACATTTGTGAGATGTACAACTACATAAGATTCAGGTTAAGGATGAAAAAATAAACAACAACAAATTACGAGAAGATGTCCCAAGGCGCTGGTCAGTTGAGGGCTTCTACCCGAATTGGGGGTTGGATTCGAGAGGGGGGGGGGGGTGCAAAGGGGACGGGGATAGAGGGTACACAACTACACTGAACCACTGAGTGAATCATATATGAACCCTACTCCCCGATCGTAGATGTGTTATAATTATATCTTGCATTTATATAGCACCATTCATGTAAAAGAAACATCTCAAAATGCTTTACAAAATATAATCGATTAGAAATGGAAGTGAATGTTGCTATATAGGTAAACATGGCAGCTAATCTGTACCATCAACAACATGTAAACATTAAACTGAAATAAAAATTATTAATGGTTTAATTAAACTAAAATTATTTGAAAATCAATATCAACTATCATGCTAAGAAATCCAGGTAATTTACATAATACTGTATATATAGTAATAAACAATGCACACCATGCTAGGAAAGGTCATGTGTCTAATCCTTGGCCTGTGTTAAATTACCCCATCTTTACCAAGAAGCAGTAGCAAGTACGAAATTCCTTTGATTATGTTCAATTATTCAATACTAGCTATACCCATTGCAGCTTCGCTTGCAACCAAAGGATCCAATATAAAATGTAGATTGACACAAAGACACACAGACAGACATTTCATGTTTATCTATACTCAGCTGGAGGACTCCAGTGGGGGTACTCTTTTTGGGAGAACTACGCTAACCAAAGGGGTTTACTACATGATCCGGCAGGTTCTTGAGTTATTGCAAGGCTTTCGTGTAGACAACATTTTCAATTTTTCCTCCTTTGGCCATGATGTACAGGTTTTGAGATGAACCCACACATGAGCATCCAACATAAAATTTGCCCTCTCCTGTCCATGTGTCAGAATGACAGGGTGTCGAAGTCCAGTCGTGCTGTTCTTTGTTCTTCAGTTTAATTTAATCGGCCTTCTCTCTTTTGGCTTACATTTTTATTTGTCCTTGAAAGGCTTGATCTTTGCTTCTTTGGCATCTTCCCTTAAGATTAAGAAAAAGTGCTATTGGAAGGACTCCTGTGAGAGAACTCCCGTTGGGAGGACTGAGTGGGAAGACTCAGTGGGAGGACTCCTGTTGGGAGGACTGTAGCTCCATGACAACCTGATAAAACTGCCATACATTTGTTGCAGAGTATAGATATATCTCTTTAGAAGGGTGTGTGCTTTCCTCTGCCACTACTTTGTTGCAAAATATTATGCATACCTAATATTTTGGGGCTTAATTAAAGCATTTTTTAAATATAGCCCATCAATGAGAGGAGATCCCCGAAAAAAAAATGCCTATGACACTCCTGCATGCAAGACCTTTCCGATGAGGTATAAATCATCTCACTATGATTATTGGCGGAAACACAGACACACACACACTTTGTTTTTATTAGTATAGAAGATTAGCTGTACCCATTGCAGCTACGCTTGTAACCAGGACTGTTTGTGGGACATTGCTGTGCGCAATTGGCTGCCGCGTTCGCCCACAAATATACAGTCAATTCACTTTACAGTGTGTTCTGTGAAGCGCTTTGGGACGTCCTCCTGACGTGAAAAGCGCTATATCAAATGCAAGGATTATTATTATTATTATTATTATTATTAATCGGCCTTCTCACTTTCGATAGCATTTGTATTTGTCTTTGAAAGATTTAATCTTCACTTCTTAGGCATCTTTATTCCTTAAGATTAAGAAAATGTGCTATTGAACTTGTTAACATCCCTTGTTCACATATTTGTACACATATGCTTTTGGGAGGATTCCTGGCACACAGACAAATATTTTGTCTTTATTAGTATAAATGTATGTCTGTAGAAGGGTGTGATCTCTGTCGCTATTTTGTTGCTGAATACCATGCATACCTTTTTTGTGGCTTAATTAAAGCAAATATATTTTTTAATATAGCTCATCAACAATAGGAGATCCCCGAAAAAAATATGCCCATGACACTCCTCACACAAGACCTTTCTGATAAGGTATAAATCATGTCTCTACATCAATCGATTATTGCATTCTTGACAGACAGACAGACATTTTGTCTATAAGTATAGATTGTTATGCAAGAAAGGATACAATTATCATCGATGCTATTCAGGGAAAATCGGGTGCTTGAAAACCGAGCAAATCCATCTCTGTATAACCAGGTTTTCAGAGGGGCATACTGTAGAGAGAAACAAATTTGACCAATCTATGTCCACCTGCAGCCAACTATTCCTCCTCATTGTTTACTACGTTCCCAAGTTTTGTGTCATCTGCAAACTTTAAAATTTTCTCTCTGCTCCTCTCTGAATCCCTCCCTCTCTCTCCCCCTCTCCAGTCCCCCTCTCCCATTCATCTCTCTCCTCCCTCAATCACCTTTCTCCCAAACAGCCTTGCGGTTCACTATCTGCGGTGGCAGGAGCCAGCAGTTGCTAAGGACACGGTGGATAAGAAGATGTGCTTGCTTTCCCCTCAGCTCCAATACACATAGCAGTAACGGACTGCATTATTTCCACTCTCCGCGTCACGTTCCCCCCCACCCGCCAGCTCCTGTCACTGCCATGGAAAGATGTTCACCAAGAAGGGAGGGAACAGAAGTTGGAAATGGTCTCGGGCCGGATAAAATCACCCGTCAGCCGCGTGTGTCCCACGGCCACCTGTTGCACCATGTTGCTTTAATTAATCAAAATTATCAGTTTGTAAGTGCAGTTTGTATCATTGTGACAAGAATGAGAAATGTTTATGTAAAATCTACTTACAGAGGTCACCAGTACATAAACCCGCAGGTCAAACTTTCTACCTGTGAACAAGCAAAAACCACAATAACAATGTTAGTGTTAACATTGCCTCAAACTGAGCAAACTTAACTATTCCTTTCCTACTGATGGTAATGGAGTCCAGAGATATTCCAGGTTGTGTCTATCTCCAATCAGAGATTTGCATGTCAGTCTGGCTCAGTTGATAGCACCGAGTGAGATAGTGGTGGGTACAAGCCAAATGTCGAGATTTTTAATTCATCGTCAAGGCTTAGGTTAACACTCCAGTGCAGTTCTTCATTGTTGGAGATGTTATCTTGGATTGAGTTTCTCAATTGACCAACAATCCCCCCAATTAAAAATTTGATCACTCTCTTCAGGAATATTTATGGGACATTGCTGTGCAAAAATTGGCCAAGGTCACTGACAAAATACACAATCATTATATTCCACCCTCGATTCCAGGACCAATGTTGTTCTGATCGATTCCATGTTAAACATTAAGTCCTGAATGAGAGTTAATTTTCTCCAGTTGAATTTTGGCAAGACAAAACTCTACTGCTTAGCTTCCATCAGCACCTTCTCCCCTCAGGTACTGAGAGCATCAACCTGAATGGACACACAATCCACTTGCAAGGACCTAGTGCAGAATTGGTGTCTTGTTCGACTCTTAACTGTCCTTTAAACCCCACATCTATGCCCTGATCCATTCAGCATCCCCCTACCTCTGCAATGTTGCCCACCTTTGCCATTGCCTCACCCCTTGAGTCAGCAAGAACTTTATCCCTGCATTTATCATGTCCAAGCTAGACTATGCTAACTATACTCATCAGACTTCCCAACTCTTCCCCCACAAGCTGCAGACCATCTTTAATTCTGCAGGCTCCGCAAGCCTCCCCCTATCCTCACCTGGCTCCACTAGCTCCCATCCCTCAGAGGATTGAGTTCAAGATCCTTATCCTCACTTTTAAATCCCTCCTGGTCTTATCCCACCCTACCTTTGTGACCTTCTTAAACTCTGACAACCTACCCACTCCCTCCAGTTGGCAGGCACTTGCCTGCTACATGCCGTTCTTCTTGCCAGCCCCCTTGTTTCTGTTAAAATCCTGTGAAGCATTTTGAAATGTCTTCCTGATGTTAAAAGGTGCTATGTCAAATGTAAGGATTTTAATATATACTTCTGGCACACCACTGTAGCTTAGATACCCCAGGCACTGTCTCCCCTCCATCAGAGAGATCACCCAAGCACAGTCTGCACTTCCTCCTCTAGAAGACTTTTAATGATTGATAAATACACAATACCTCCTATCAGGTAAGGGTTCTCAATGTAGCGCTGCACTACATAACTCTCCACTGGGCTTTCATCTTTGGGATCATCTGAACGGTTTCCATCCTAGAAGATAAAGAGTTATAAAGATGACTAGGAACAGCTGGAATAATGGTCAGGGTAGAGAAGTAAATGGCAGTATCACCACCAAGGTGGCGGGGCACAAAGTAATTCACATGGGCAGCAACACAGTGGCAGATTATGAGGGCAGAGATGCATTACATTACTTGTGTTACAAGGCACGCAAAGGCTGGAAATGTTACCTTTCTCCATTCCATGATATCTTTGAGTTTTCGGAAAAGAAAAATACCTTTACCCTGTGATCGTGCAACCTGAAGAAAGAACAGCAATTTGAACTTGTATAGCACCTTTCTTGTAGGAAGAATGATTCAAAGTGCTTTACAGAGACTAAATGGTGGCCAAAATTGGTCAGCGTTTTGAAATCCGAGATGGAGGGGTGAGGGGACTGGAATTGGTAATAGAGTTCCAGAGGCAGGAACAAAGTAGCTGAAAACTTATTCACTGACGATGGGAGCAGAGCAGTGGGGATCATGAAGCAACACACTGGAAACGTTGAGACTGGAGGTGATAATGGCATGCATTGGTGGTGAAGTTTTTTTTCCGTCAGCTGGGTGTCCGAAATGTGCGAAAAAACAGCCTTATTTTCTGTCCAAAAGTGAATCTCTTACTGGTTTCATGATCCATGTGATTCCAGGGTTTCTCTTAAACTCCTCGACAAAGAGATGGTACTCAATGGGTAGCTCAAACGTTTTGGGGAAGAAGTCACACTTGCTGGCCTCGAGCTTGCCCTGTTCACGCTCAAGCTGTTTCCTAAATCTCTTCAAGTTTTTCACCATGAAGTTTTTCCTCGTCAGCTTCAAGAAAATCAAGCCATAAATATGCATTAACATAAAACCACCTTCATTTTGCCAGTGTCCATATCATACTGTAGGGTTTAGTTCTATTCAATGAGATTCAATGATCTAGCCCCAGCCCAACAACTAAGGGCAGAGTGGTTGATAATTATCCTGAATAAAGAGCATTTCTATCATTTTCCTGTGTATAACAATATACAGTGTGTATATGCATACATTGAGTACTTTTACTCAGCCTTCATCCACACAGTGTATAATAATACTTTCATTTGATATAGCGTCTTTCACGTCTCAAAGTGCTTTACTGTAAAGTGTGTATTTTTTAGGCAAACAGCAGCAAATTTATGCCCAGCATTATTGATAACCTACATCTAATAATCTCTGGAATAAGGTAAACATGGAGCGTCCCTCGGGGAGAAAGTGCACATTCCATTCCAAGCATGGGAATTTCTACCTGTAGATGGCATCCATGAAACTGTGGTTTGGATACTCTTAAGCATGGTGATGCATTTCTGCATTTGTCAGACATCCAGCTGACCAAAACATAAATATAATAATAATAATCCTTGCATTTGATATAGCGCTTTTCACGTCGGGAGGACGTCCCAAAGCGCTTCACAGAACACACTGTAAAGTGAATTGACTGTATATTTGTGGGCGAACGCGGCAGCCAATTGCGCACAGCAATGTCCCACAAACAGTCGTAGATTGAAAATGACCAATTTATTATTGTTTTTGTTTTTGGAGGGATTATTATTAGGCTCTGTGTGGAGTAAGGAAACTTGCCCAAGGTTTCGCCCTCCGCCGGGAATTGAACTCAGGTCTCTCACTTGCAAAGCGAGTGCTCTAACCACTGAGCTACAGGACTCCACGATCTGTACGCAATATATAATTCTGCCCAGTGCATAAAATCTACATCAGAAAATACCTTCACATCGGCTTAGGACTGTAAATCGCCTGTTTTAATCCTGCTATTCCTACAGGTATTGTTCCGTACCTCATAGTGATTGCGAAAATGACAAACCCGAACATGTTCATCCATGTATGTGTGGCCGAAGTTCTCACGCAACCAACTGACGTCACACCAGTAAAAATCCCATTCTCCTTCACTGTCACAGAACAAAGTTACAAGCACTGCATCGGTTATCAACATCATAGAAAACCCGAGTAAGAACTTTGAAAGAAGACCCCAGTAATGAACAGAAATTAGCTCTTTGCCAAATCAATAGAAGGCTATGAGTGATGGGAGTGAAATGACCTCCGATTCCATTCTATTTCATTTTTTGCTGGTACTCTCTTGTGCGAAATCTTCTCAAATGCCTTCTGAAAGTTTATATAGAGGACATCCGTAGACACTCTCTTATCCACCATGTTAGTGACCTCCTGAAAAAATTCTATTAGATTCGTCAGACATGAACTACACTTCACAAATCCATGCTGGCTCTCTTTGATTAGTTCATACTTATCCAAATGCTCTGTCATTCTGTCCAGTTACTTCCCCACAACTCACGTTAAGCTGACAGGTTTGTAGTTATCTGGTTCCTCCCTTCTTAAATAATTGAATGACATTTGCAATTTTCCAATCCAAAGGCACAATTCCTGAATATAGAGAGCTTTGGAAAATTATGACTAACACATCTGCAATTTCCTCCCCTACTTCTTTTAATACCCCTGGGGTGGAATCCATCAGGTCTTGGAGATTTATCTATCTTTTGCCACATTATTTTCTCATAACCTTTTTTTATTTATATTAAATTTATTTAGTGCTTCTCTTTTTAGATTCTCATGTACGGCTGATATTTTGTCCTCTTCCTCTACTGTGAAAAGTCCCGTGAAAGCAAAGTATTCACTTAACAAGTCTGCCATTTCCTTATTGTCCATTACACTCTCATCGACATCTGTCTTTATGGCTACTCTTCCTACCTTCCTCTGTCTAGCACGTGTTTCTCTTCCACTCCTGTACCTCTCTGATAAAGTTATCACTTTGTTGTCACAGACACACTTATCAGTATTAGCTTGTCATGCACCCCACCCTCATCCAAACAGGTACATTAAAAGGTATGAAGAAGAGTCTCACTCTTTGACTTCAATCCACCCAGGGCGTTGTCGAAGAACATCTAATATTGTGTTTGTTAAAACACATTTGAATCTGATGCATGTTCGCTGTTCCCTGAAAAATTAACAAGAGCATAGTTACTACTCAAAGTGTGGCATAGTTACTACTCAGAGTATCACAGTTGCTGCTCCAGGTATTCATACAGTAATTGTTGAAGTAGTCCCACAGTTACTAATCCAGCTATTCATAGTTACTGCTCTGAGCACTGGTAGTTATTGTCCGAATATTCATATAGCTACAAATCTGAGTATTTGCGGTTACTATTCTGAGTATTTGTACAGTTACAATTCTAAGTATTACCACTGTTACTGCTTAGAACATTTAGGATCCAGACACCAGTGGTGGTTATTGCAACAAGATTCACAATTCCTGGTTCAATAGTTGAACTCTAAGCACCCCCTTGCCAAATCCCCCCCTACAAGTCCCCTGCTCCTACAAGTCCCCAGAAATCACGTTCATCGAATCCTTCTTCCCCACAAATGCCTCCTGCCAAGGAATCCCATCACTGAATCTACCCCCCCTCCAACAGGCAAATGTCAATAAAAAGGTACAGGCCACTGCTAGATGAACCAAATGACTCACTTTTCCTTCTGCTTCTGATAGCCATACGATCCTTTATTAGCAACACCCTGTCAATAAAATTCACAACCAGTCACCCAACAATAACAAAAAGAACTTGTATTTATATAGTGCCCTTCACATAGAATAATGTTTAGGAGCGCTTTACAGTGGCAGAGTTGCATGATAAGCAAGGGAAGAGGGAGTGGGGGGGGGGTTGAACTTAGGTGTGGGGAGGGAAGGAGGAGATGACCATGTACATTGTTGAAGAGGTAGGTTTTAAGGCAGGACTTGAAGATTGACAGACCGGAGGAGTGACATAAGGGTTGAAGGAAGTAGTTGCATTTATGCAGTGCCTTTGTCGCAGGGTAGTATTTCATAATGTTTGCTTTCAAAAGATTGCGATATAGAATTGGAAAGTTCAGCCACCAATAGTGAAGCGCGAAGGACAGGGAACGCACAACAAGCCTGAGTTAGCCGAACAGATGAGGCAAGTGGAGGAGTGGGATAGGAAATCAGACATTGAACAACAATAACAACTTGCCTTTATCTCAGAGCATGTAACAGTGGCATGACTCCGAGCCAAAATGGGAGGGGAGGTGACTGAGGGCACAGTCAGAAAGAGGAAAGTCTTCAGGTGTGGTTTGAAGATGGGCAAGAGGAGGCAAGATTGAGGCTAGAGGTTCGGAGTACAGTGATTGCCAATTGTGGAGCAGAGAGAATGAGGGATTTGCAGAAGACCTGAGCCAGCTAAGCAAAGGTGGTGGGAAGAAAAGTGGGTGTACGAAGATCAGAAGAGTGGGTGTATAAAGAACAGAGGAGTGCAATATTGTTGGGAGTTGCTTGCCATCCTTCAGATAGGCGTTAAATCAAGTCTGCCTGTTCAGGTGGACATTAAAGAAACCATTACACTTGTTCAAAATGAGAAGTTACCCTGTGTTCTCGCCAACAATCCCTCAAAAAATGTTATAATCAGTCTTCCAGCTGAGACAGTGAGGGTATTCCCTCCCTCCCCTCCCCTCCCTCCCAATCTCTTTCTCACTTATTCTCTCTCTATACTTTGCTGTTATGGGATATGGGGGTGTGGGGTGTTTGGGGGGGAAATCACTCTGTCTCCTTCTTCCTCTGTCTCTCTCACTTTCTCTGACTCGGTGGGAGATGTCTCAATGCCAGTCTCAAGCTGCCACTGAGACATACTCACATGTAGTGTTGTGCGCCCAATCTCAGTGCCTCGTGTGGAGCTCTCTCAAGCTCAGTACCTTGCCAGTGCGGGACATGGTACTCTCTGCAGCTCTGGGAGTCTCTCGACTCGAGTGTTCTTTCGGGCTCTCACGCTGACTCAGGCTCAGTTATACCAGTCTCAGCTTCTCTGTGTCTCTGTCTCTATCAACGTGTGGGGTCACTGTGTCCCTTTGAATTCCTTGCTGGTGCGTGACATGGCTCCGAGTACGAATCTTTGTGTGGCTCAGTGTTTCAGGCACTCTCAGTGTGAGGGTCTCTTTCTGCACTCCTTTCCCTCGCGCTCTGTGAAGCCTCTCTGCGTGACAGTGGGTAAACGTCTCTCCGTCTCTCACTCACTGTGAGACAGTGCAGGAATTGTCTCAACGTGAACCTCCCAATGTGAGTGTCTCAATGTGTGGTTCCCTGTGTGTGAGTGTGTGTGAGTGTCTCCCTGTGTGTGTGTGAGTGTGTGTGAGTGTCTCCTTCTGTGTGTGTGTGTCTCTCTCAGTGAGTGTCTCCCTGTGTGTGTGTGTGTGTCTGTGTGTGTCTCTCAGTGAGTGTCTCCCTGTGTGTGTGTGTGTGTGTGTCTGTGTGTGTCTCTCAGTGAGTGTCTCCCTCTGTGTCTCAGTATCTCAGTGAGTGTCTCCCTCTGTGTGTGTGTGTGTGTGTGTGTGTCTCAGTGAGTGTCTCCCTCTGTGTGTCTCAGTATCTCAGTGAGTGTCTCCCTCTGTGTGTGTGTGTATGTCTCAGTGAGTGTCTCCCTCTGTGTGTCTCAGTATCTCAGTGAGTGTCTCCCTCTGTGTGTGTGTCTCAGTATCTCAGTGAGTATCTCCCTCTGTGTGTCTCAGTATCTCAGTGAGTGTCTCCCTCTGTGTGTGTGTGTGTCTCTCAGTGAGTGTCTCCCTGTGTGTGTGTGTGTGTGTGTCTGTGTGTGTCTCTCAGTGAGTGTCTCCCTCTGTGTGTCTCAGTATCTCAGTGAGTGTCTCCCTCTGTGTGTGTGTGTGTGTGTCTCAGTGAGTGTCTCCCTCTGTGTGTCTCAGTATCTCAGTGAGTGTCTCCCTCTGTGTGTCTCAGTATCTCAGTGAGTGTCTCCCTCTGTGTGTCTCAGTATCTCAGTGAGTGTCTCCCTCTGTGTGTCTCAGTATCTCAGTGAGTGTCTCCCTCTGTGTGTCTCAGTATCTCAGTGAGTGTCTCCCTCTGTGTGTCTCAGTATCTCAGTGAGTGTCTCCCTCTGTGTGTCTCAGTATCTCAGTGAGTGTCTCCCTCTGTGTGTGTGTGTCTCTCGGTGAATGTCCCTCAGTGTGCGATCGCCGACGTAAAGACGTTCCCTCTGTCGCTCTCTCTGGACTCGGGTCGGCGCCGCTCTCTCGTTGCCGTGGAAACCGCGGCCCCTTTCCCTCCCCTCCCCCCCCCCCCCCCGGCACCCCGCACGCACACGCGCGCGCGCGCGCACACACGCACACGTCAGTTCCGGGCGCCCGCCCGAAGCGGTGACGTCGCGCGCCTTCCGGCCGCCCGTGCCCACGCGGCTGTCCGGGCCACGCGCTGAAGCTCGGGCCGCCTCGCGTCGTGTGTATGGGGCAGCAGAGAGCCCCTCCTGTTGCTTTCCCTCCGGGAGAACGCGCCCCGACAGCCCTCCCACTCCCCCAAAACAAGTAACAAGTCGCCCACAAACCACACACACACACACACACGTTCACCCACTTGATTTATTATAGAGACGACACGTGACACCCTCCCCCACCCCCCACCCCCTCCCCTGTGCTGCTGCCCTGAGGCGTGTCCCGGTGGCGGTTGGCCGGCGCCGCCATGGCCTCTCCCGCTTTGCCGGCGGAGCTGCGGGCGCTGGAGCAGCACCGGGCTGCGCTCCTGCGGGCCGCGCCCCAACGCCCCGCCGCCGCCCCGACCCCGGCGCGGGCTGAGGCTTTTGCCAGGTACCGCCGTCGCCGCCGCCGCCGCCTCGTGGGCTCCGTTGTCGGCGCCCCCCCCCCCCAGCGCTCGCGTTTCGCGTGGCTCGGTGTTTGCGCCTGGCGGCCGACGGGGAGGCCGAGGGCGGCTCAAACCGAGAGGGCGAGCGCGGAGCCGGCACCTTTTTTTTAATGGCTTGTTTTTGTGAAGCCAAAGGCATCAAAGAGGAAGGTCTTGAGGTGGACCTGAAGGCACACCGATGGCCGGGGGAGTTGTGGGTTGCACTGCAGACCTGTCCCAGCCTGACCAAAGGGGGTGGGCCGAGGATTGAGGTATGAGCAGGTCGGAGAGGTAGGGTGGTGCTCGTGTGTGATGGGATTTGTATGTGAAGGTGAGGATCTTGAAATCAATGATTTGGGAGACGCAGTCAGTGGAGCATGGCCTGGATTGTGCTGATGGCCGTGCAGAGTTTGATATGGGTGAGGACGTGAACAGTGGAGTTTTGGATAAGCTGGACCTTGTTGATGGTGGAATTGCAGAGTCCAGTGAGGGGTGCATTGGAGAAGTCGAGGCGGGACGTGACAAAGACTGGATGAGGGTTTCAGTGGGGGTTGGATTGAGATAGAGTCGAAGGCGGGCAATTTAGCAGAGGTGGATAAAAGCAGTCTGGTCAGGGACTATATGTGGGTGAGGAAGGACAGCTGGTGGAACCGGACACCAAGGTTGTTTACAGGTTCAGTGAGATTGAGAGAGAGGCCAGAGAGAAGAGACAGAGTTTAAACCCTGAGGTACATCGCAGGTGATCATGCAAGGGCGGTAGGAGAAACCTTTGGAAGAGAAAGTGGAAGCAATGGGTCAGGAAGGAATTAAACTATGAGATTGCACTCCTAATGGAAGTGGATGAGGGAGGAGAGACAATTGAGGAGGATGGATAATCATAACGCACTATTCAAATGCAAGTTCTTGAATATAATCAATCATTTTCTGATTTTTCTGGTCATTTTTACCAACCATTGTCAATACAATGTATTTTATTAAAGTTCTTGCCTTAGATTTCTTTTTGTCTAAGTAATAAATTTATATCACCTTCCTTGTTTCAGTTCTAATGTTCTTGTAGCAATCGAAAGTGTCATCAAAGAGGTACTGACATATTTTGCGAAGGGAGAAGCAGCAGTTATCACGTTGGACAAAAGATCATCATGGGAAAATATTTGGTATATTCTAATATTTATGTGATTCTTCAAGTGTTATAAATTGCATATGATTATTTAGTATGCTTATTGATAGTTGGAATGTAATTACAAAGTTGGAGCTCATTTAAAGGGTCCAGAAGATGATACAAGTTGTGGAACTTGAAAATTTTCACACACCTTTCTGTCTCACACTTCCTCTAGAACTTTTGCACTCACACAAACCTCATTTGGTAACTTCTGCAGGATTTAACCTACATACCCTGTGAGAGATTTTCATATTGGGTTGGAATTTACTAAAGGAAATTCAGAATCCCTAATGGAGATTGCTGCTGCTTTATGGTAACCAGGTCGGTAGGGTTGAAGGGGATCGCAGAGATTGGGGTGAGATGTAGAGAGATTTCAAAATGAGAACTGGGATCTTGAAATTGATCATCTGGGAGATAAGACAGTTAAACCAAGCTAGGATGGGGATGACAAGCTTGTAGAGTTCACTGCAGGAGAAGATTCAGGCTGCAGAGTTCTGGATAGTCTACTGCCTATGTAAGGAAGAGCAGGGGAATCTGGCACACAGCGCATTGGCATAGTGGAACCTGGATGTGATAAAGCATGGATGGATCTAGCCCGAGGGAAAAGGCAGTGGCAATGTTTCAGAGGTGAGAAAAAGCTGAATAGGCAAGAGCAAAATAACTCGCCAGCTTGTTCTGTTGACATGATGTATGTGGAACTTTGAAACTACAAGAAAAAAAGGACATTCATTGTAAGATATACTAATTATTCTATTGTTGCATGTTAACAGGTTTGATGACACAGTTGGCTTGCAGATGGTATTTGATTGCACTGTAACCAAAGTGAAGTGTGAGAATCTCAAATCAATGCAACGATTTGGTATGTATTGTATCAGATTTTCTCATTGATGTGTAGCATGTCATGCATGCATTTGATTTCATCACATCAAAATGCTTCACATTCTGGAAGGAGTAAGGAGTGGGGAATAAATACTGACACAGAATGGTTGGGCCAAATGGACTGTTTCTGTGCTGTACAGTCTACGTAAGTGTGATTCTCGGCAAGCAAACATAATATCTGATTTGTACCAGCGCAGTTCTACAAAAAGGAAGAAGTAAACAAATACAATAGCAGTGATATTGCCTGAATTGTGTCTGTGAAACCTTGATTGTGCAAATTGGCTGCATTTACCTTCAAATAGTTAGTCACTATGTTTGACAGTAAATATCCATGAACATCTCTAACAAAGTGACCTCAAAATTGAGAGAAAGTGCTCTGTGAAGCTACTATTTAGTGAACAGTGACATTTAGCACCCATTGTGGGGCTGTCAGAGGATAAGACACTAAAAACAAAATTATTGTCTTGTCTACCAATTGCCAAAACTGGATCACCATACCCTGCAGAGGAGAGCTCTCTATTAAAAAATCTTGTAGGAAAACTACCTCGTCAGAGAAAGTAGAGTTAGTACTAGGATCAAGGAACTAAGACAATAAAGACATAACTAAAATCCTCATAGGAAAACTCTTTAAGAGAAACAGCTGATACTAAAGTAAGATAGAACTATGGAGGAAGGACATTCCGAGCAAATTCTTGTAAGTGCCCAGGAGTGGGCGGTGTTATCTTCTACATTTGTCCTCTGCTCCCTCCCTCCCTCTCTCCCTCAGTCCTTCCTTTCTTCTCTCCCTCCTACCTCACTCACTTACAACGCTTTTGCTGTGCTTTGCTATTTTTTCTCCTCCTGCATCCCCCCACCCCATTGCCACCCCCCCCTCCCACACGCCCTCCCCAACAGCTCGGGTGCTCAGGTCCAGTGTGAAGCAATTTGAGAATGTGAAACGTGCTATAGAAGTGTAAATTGAATTGTATAGTAATAAATGTTTTTCTTCCAGCTTTAATACTTAAGATCCTATCGATGATCTACAAGCTGGTGCAGAGCAACACGTATGCAACTAAGAGGTGACAGAACATTAAATCAGTTACTGTGATCTGAGTGTATGTATGACTGTAGAATACCTTTTGGTATGGAGGACATGGAGGAACATGTATTAGCCTGGCTCATCAATGTGTGCCAGAACGGCTTTGTTTGCTCGTGCGTGGCGTGGGGAGTGTTGGGATCACGAGTGGAAAATCAGCTTTGTCTGCTGGTGAGTGAACCACGATAGAAAGACAAGCTGCGTGACACTTATTTGCTCTGTGCCCAGCCTAAACTGAGCTATTCAAATTAACATTTTTGTATACTGTACAATTCAAATTAACATTTTTAGTATTTTAAACATAGCTACATGTCTAGTATTTTCAATAAAGTGAAAAACTGTAGCTTAGAGAATGAGAAAATCTGATATAATACATACCAGCAAAATGCGTCTCTCAATAGCACCAATCAACCCTCCGCAATTCCCTGCAAAATTTATCACACCTCCGCCACAATTTCCTGTACTCCCAGGGGTCAAATGACCCACAATTTTTGGTAAATATTTCCGCAATTTTCTATTGGCCCAACTTATAACTTATCACTACATGCTGAAATATAATTGGGGCACTACAATAATGCATACCTTTTAGGTATAAGTTAATTGAAGTTTTTTAACTTAGTTAGCTGGGAGTAGTTTGAACTGAAAAGTATTCTTCCCCAACTTACCTCTCCTTCAGGAATATTTGATTGTGAGAGAAAATCGGATCCCAGCATTTCACTATCTGGTGGATTACATTGCTTCAGTTTGGAGTATGTGTCTCTATCAAGAAACTGGGTGCATTTCATAGTTTAATTAATAAGACTGTCAAAAATATAGTCTACTTTTCTTACTCGGATGCTCTTTATTGCAGAGACTTGTTTTACAGTGACACACAAGTGTTTGGCTCACAGAGCGTCCTGGATGCTATTATCAATGATATATCGTGCCTGCTAAAAGTGCCACGCAGGTATCTTCATATTGTAAGTACTTACTGCGCTCACATTTCTTTTCCTGCATAACATATGGATATACATTAAAAATATTTTAAAACACGTAGTTTAGGAACTCGTTTCAGTGAAATAACAAAAAAGTTTCAAAAGAACTGGAGTATTACATTCGTGACTTTTTAAGCATTTAATGTGATAATTAACCCAGCAATAATTTAAGCGCCTTGGGATGTCTCCCGACATGAAAGGCACTTTACAAATGTAATTTTATATTGTATCAAGAGCAAAGGGAGTTGAATCATTGAATTTGTGATCAGGACTCTGAATCCATGCTTCTCATTTGCTTAAAAAGAAATCTTGGCAGTGAACAAAGTGGTTTTAGATTTAAAATTATTGCCAGCTGTGGGTGCAGATTTAACCCTGTTTCACCAGATAGTGTTTTAAAATTAAAAAGATTAAAAACTAAAATAAAAAGTTAAAACTCCTAAGCGGCCTGAATAAAGGCTTTTCTAATCCTTGCTACAATAGATAGGTTTTAAGGTCATATTTTTATTGCATTTTCTGTTCTTATAATTATCACCAACAATTTATCACACCAGCAAGTGCATTTTCTCCTCATCTGTTAAAAAAAGATACAATTTTGATCCTATGCTTCTGCAAGATTGGATTTTTTTTAATGCAAACCTTGAATTTCTCAATAATTGCTAATACATACATTTAGGTGAAGACAGAACAGTTGATTGGGTTGTGAAACGTTTGTAGTGTGAATGAATAGGTAGACGTGAGCTTCATGATTTGGACCATATGACAGTAAGCCAAGATATAAATTTATTTATGTATTGGGATATACAATTAACTTTTTCACTGAAATGACCAACACATGGAAATTAGTGTATTGCTCTCATTTCCATATTATTTTAGAAATCCTAAAAGTAATTGTTGGAATTCTGAAAATAAAATAAATTCTTAAAATCTCACAACAGGGCAATCAGCATCAAAAAAGGTTAGCATTTCAGACATGGTCATTCATTAGAAATGATACTGATTGATTGACAATCTAGATTTTCAGCATTTTGGATGTATTAGTGTTCTGTTTTATGAAAAATAATCCTGGCATTTGATGTAGCGCTTTTTCACATCTTCGAGACGTCTCAAAGTGCTTTGCAGAATATACTGTAAAGTGAATTGACGGTATATTTGTGGGCGAAACACAGCAGCCATTTGCACACAGCAGTGTTCCACAAACAGTCGTCGATTGAGTGACCAAATTATTATTGTTTTTTTTTTCTTGAGGGATTATTATCAGGCGTGTGGAGTAAGGAAACTTGCCCAAGGTTTTGCCCTGCCGGAAATTGAACACATGTCTCGCTTGCGAAGTGAATGCTCTGACTACTGAGCTACAGGACTCAATTTTTCTTTGTATTCTTTGTTTCAGTTATCTACCGCTAGAGGTTACATTGCTGGCGATCTATATTACACTGAAGAAGATGGGACTAGGGTGAACTGTTCCTGCAACTCTACTGTAAGTGGCCAAACAATCATATAAAGGGGAATAATAATAACAACAATTAGTGCATTAGCATTTTGAATACTTTTAGCAAAGAGCATTACTTCTAAACTTTGTCTCCTTCAAAAATAAATCACCAGAGCAAACAACTCTGACCCTATTATGACATAATAATATTTGCATTTGATATAGCGCCATATCAGGTCATTCAAGAAAAAAAAATTCTTCTCACCTCCCCTCTTTCTTTTAACAACACTTTCAAATCAGTGCCCTCGGGATCCTGACCCATTTGTCAGTGGAAATAGTTTCTCCTCGTTCACCCTATCGAATAACTTCAGAACTTTGAAAACTTCTATTAAGTCTCCTCTTAATTTTCTCTGCTCGAAGAAAATCCCAGCTTCTCTAGCCTCTCCTGATAACGGAAATCCTTCATTCCTGCTTCCACCCTCAACTCCAGGACCACTGCTGTCCTGACAGACTGCCTGTCAGACATCAAGTCCTGGATGAGGGCAAATTTCCTACAGTTGAATGTGAACAAGACTGAGGCCCTCCTGATTGGCTCACGCCAGCGCCTCTGCACCTCAGGCTCTGGCAGCATCAACCTCCATGGTTGCACACTTTAATTCACCAGCCAGTCAGGAACCAAGGTGTCTTGTTCGACTCTCAACTGTCTTTTCTTCCCCACATCCAAGCCATGACTCGCTCTGCCTTCCCTCACCTCCGTAACATTGCCCGACTCCGCCACTACGTCACTTCAGGCCGCTGAAACTCTTGTTCATGCCTTCATCACATCCAGACTCAACTATGCAAACCCCCTGCTTGTCGGCCTTCCCAACTCCTCCCTCCACAGGCTGCAGATAATCCCCCATTCTCGCCTGACTCCATTGGCTCCCTATCCTTCAGAGGATCTAGTTCAAGATCCTGGTCCTCACCTACAAAGCCCTCCACGGCCTCGCCCCACCCTAACTCTGCGACCTCCTAACCCCCTACTAACCCACCCGCTCAGCCAGCTCTGGCCTGCTCCACGTCCCCCGACCCACCCGCCCCACCATTGGCGAGAGAGCCTTCAGCCACTCTGCCCCCAACCTCTGGAATTCCATCCCCCAATCACTCCACCTCGCCCCCTCCTCAGCTCCTTCGAGTCCCGTCTCAACACCCTCCTCTTCAACCATGCCATCGGCCACCCATCTTCCCTTCCCCTCCCTTCTGCCCCCCCCCCGACCCCTGCTCGAGTCTGAAATGTTGTACATTGTCCAGAGACTTGGGACACCCTCCTGACATGAAAGGAACTATACAAATGTAATCTTCTTGTTGTTGAGAATGCTCATTTGCCAGGAATTCTTAATTGTTGTAAAGAAAAATATCTGTAGACTGACTCCAAAAAGTTAATACAGGGTGACCAAAACGTTGTGATGCCATTACAATGTCTAATAAGTCTTAAATAAATGATATATATATTTTTAGATAATAGGGTAATTATCACAATTTTTTGGTCACCCTGTACTTGTAATACCTTAAGAATTATGATATTGAAAAATATGAAGTACTGAATTTTAGTTCAATAAAAATTATGACTTTTATATTCCTAGGCCATTCTCGTACCATCCAATGTTGACGGAGTAAAATGTATCCTTTATACAGTATATGTATATTTAGCGTTTCGTGTAGCGTTTCATTTATGTGGAAAGAATTATTTCATGAGTAAAATGTGCTTGGATTTCTCATTTTATGATTAGCACCTCAATAGCTGTATAGAACAATTAAAAGATAATCACAAATACATACATTATTCAAATATCTTAAGGTTCACTGAGGTATATGGTGCATTGGGGTGGGAAGGTGGTGAGGTCTCACCTCATTCCAAAGGCAAGATCATTTTTTATATTTTGGGTAAAAACGTACAAATTTATTTCTGTTGCAGGTAATTTTGTGTGCAGTTATTGCATTAAATCAAATAGTATTAATAATTTTATGCTTTGTCTCTTGCCTGGATACGTGTTTCATATCATCCCTGCGTCAACTGACAGGGTCTCCCTCATCTCCAAACCTGAGTCAGTCTATCCCCTACTCCTCTGGCTCTTTCTCCTCCTTCAATCGCCTCACCCTTTACCATCCTTTCTTTCTCTCCAGAAGACCATAAGACATAGGAGCCATTCGGCCCCTCGAGCCTGCCCTCTGATCTTCTAACCTAATTCCATTTACCCGCACTATCCCCATATCCCTCTATCTTTTAGAAATCTCCTTGAAAATCTTAGTAATCTCAATTGCATGTAGACATTTGCAGCACATGGGACCATGCCAGAAGGGACAAGAAGTGTCTGTGCAACTGCTAACCATTTTCTTTACCATAACCTGCAAGATTTAAATTCTACTGCTAAATTTGTTCTCATTGTTGAGAAAGATGCCACCTTCCAGAGGCTGTTGGATGATGCGTTTTGCACAAAATTGTCCCCATGTATAATTATAACTGTAAGTGCCAGAAAATATATGTCATACTGCTGCTGAGAGAGATGGTTCTGATGCAATTAATCAATAGACGTAGACTTTTGGTGCACATTTTAAATTGGCAGAAGGTTAACCAAATTTCACATGAGGTTTACATTTCAAACTGTTACGCTGATCTCTATTGTTTACAAGCACTTTTTTGTAACCTCTTTTATATGCCAGCTGCTCATTGCTTCATTTCTTGACTTGCTGAATCCTCGATCTGCTTGGAGTATAATTATATGCACGCCACAGATCTTTTATACCTTTACAATATGAATTAAGTCAAGACTGCTTTCCATTATCAATTAATGTTGACATCGGAATGGAATACTGATACATCCAAGAGGAAATATTGTGGCTACATTCCAATACCTAAATCCTATATTCCTGTGGCAAATACTTGTCTTTATTTGACAACAGCCCACAGTGCCATGATTGAAATCAATATTAAGAATGACCTAGGGAACTGATCATTGTTGAAGCACTCCAGAGGGAAGCTTTACTATGCATCTAGCTTATGGGATACATGACTTGGAAGAGCTTGATGCTGATACTGGATTATTCATTTTCATATACAGTTTATCAGAATTGTTTTGTGTTTTTTTTTAAATTGCCTATGTTCACTGTGGCTTTTAGGGGAAAGGAGTACCAGATCTAAACACCAGACTGATGGTCCGAAAGCTGTGGGACACACTCCATATTCCTGTTTTTGCCCTTGTGGATGCTGACCCATATGGTAATTGCTATTATACATAAATACTATCTGTTTTTTAAAAAAAACTTGTATTTTTATAGAGCCTAATCATGTTAAAAAGCCTCAAAGGTGACACAGTTAATACAGTCAAACTCTGTTATACCACAAATCAGTATATGTGCAGCAGTGAGGAGGGGAGAATTTGTTTATATCTTTGTGAATCTGTGTTACACCACATGTTAGGTACAGTGAACTGAGCTGGTTGGCTTTCTGTGCATGGTGTGCAGGTGCAGAGGCCTGCAAACATCCTAGTGACCACTGGAAATGCTCGCAAAAGCATTGGACACAATCGGAGTGAGTCGATCAGTTAAGACTAGAAGCTGGAAATGACATCAGCAGTGACCTAACAACCTGGAACCACTGACCAGTGTCCAATTTTATAATGTAGCCCTATAACAAGGGTCTGATTTCATGGACCCAGACACCAGTGCTATAAAGGAGTCTGATTACATTAATACAAACTAGCATGTTTTGGAGCTAGTTCAAATTGGATGTTTAAATTTTTTCTACAAAGCTAGATTACGCAAAGGGGACTAATACTACAGAAGAAAGCCTAGCATGTTCGCATCTGTTTTAGGAAATACTTTATATTCTTTGTAATAAATCATTTAATTATATTTTGGTTGTGTTTAGGTATTGAAATCATGTGCATTTACAAGTATGGCTCAATGGTAAGTGTTTATTAAACCAACATATGTGATTGCTGTTTATATTTCAACATACTTCCCTGAATAAAGAAGATACAGTGAAATTTGTTTAATTAAATATCAGATAATTGAACAGTTTGGTTTATTGAATGGAATTTAGAAGTCCCAAACCATTTGTTCGCCTAATTTCGGGGGTGGGGGTGGGCGGGCGAGCGAGCATCTTAGAGCACTTAAAAAGGGTGATAGATATACAATATGGAGTCCTGTAGCTCAGTGGTTAGAGCACTTGCTTTGCAAGTGAGAGACCTGAGTTCAATTCCAGGCAGGGCGAAACCTTGGGCAAGTTTCCTTACTCCACACAGAGCCTAATAATAATCCCTCCAAAACCAAAAAAAAACAATATTAAAAAATTGGTCATTTTCAATCTACGACTGTTTGTGGGACATTGCTGTGCGCAATTGGCTGCCGCGTTCACCCACAAATATACAGTCAATTCACTTTACAGTTTATTCTGTGAAGCGCTTTGGGACGTCCTCCCGACGTGAAAAGCGCTATATCAAATGCAAGGATTATTATTAATATCTCTTTTGGTATTTATGTATATAGAGGAATAGTGAGGAATTAAGATTTAAATATCTCTCACGACCTAATAAAAAATTGGCAGAACAGGCTTGATCGTTACATATCTTACTCCTGTTCCTGTGTTCCTAATACGTAAGGATATTCCAAATTAACTTGGGTTTTGGTGTTACATGTACTAAGAAACCGTTAATTCTATTTTTTGTTTTTCACCTATTAGTCTATGTCTTTTGAAGCCCACAATCTCACTGTTCCAATTATCCGCTGGCTGGGCTTACTTCCATCTGATATTCAAAGGTCAGTAGCTTCAATAGCTCTGTTAAGCCAAACACAAAATACTGCAGATACTGGAAATCTGAAAACAAAATCCGAACGCTGAGTGTCCCCAGCGACTTCTGTTTTCGTTCTCTGTTAAGCTGGTTTGCTACAGTACTCATATTTCTACTGAGAATGTTTTTTGTGTGCTATTGGGGTTAAAATTTGCAACCTAAATTAGCTAATTACAACTGTGTTACAACTCCTGTTGGTTTCCTGATAACTCACCAGAGAGCAGCTTCAACATGCCAGAAGATAGACACATTTCTGGTTGTGATTTGGAGTTGCTATTTAGTGCTGTACGCTTTAACCCTCAAAGGCATACATTGATTCTGATTTAAGGAGTGCTGGAATGAATTTATCATGTTTCAGAAATTCAGGGCCGAATGGCCTTCTTCTGTGCTGTGATTGTCTGTGGTTCCATATTGCAGATTCACTGACAGCATTCATGTTACATTATTGTAGAAGGGCACAGTTTTGTGTCAATTACATAGAATTACATACACTGTACAGCACTGAAATAGGCCTTTTGGCCCAAGTAGTCCTTGATGTTTTTTGTATTCCAATGAGTCTGTGCAAAGAAGTTCCTCCTGAATTCTCTTTTATTGATCTTCTAGTCGCTATCTAATATTTACATTTGACAACAACAAATTACAAGAAATAATATCATACTTTATTACTCAATGTAATGGATACAGAACTAGCTGGCACACAGAAATGAGAGAGTGATGAACGGTTGTTTTTCTGACTGGAAGGAAGTGTGCATTGGTGTACCCCAGGGTTTGGTATTGGGACCACTGCTGTTTTTGATCTATATAAATGACTTGGACTTGGGTATAGGGAGTACAATTTCCAAGTTTGCAGATGTTACTAAGCTAGGAAAAGTAGTAACAGTGAGGAGGATAGTAGCAGACTGCAAGAGGACATAGACAGACTGGTAAAATGGACATGTGGCAGATGAAGTTTAATGTGGAGAAATGCAAAATGATGCATTTTGGGAGGAAGAATGAGGAGAGGCAATATAAGCTGATGGTACAGTCTTAAAGGGGGTGAAGGAACAGAGAGACCTGAGGGTTCATATAAGTAAATCTTTGAAGGTGGCAGGACAGGGAGATAAAGCTGTTAAAAAAGCACACGGGATACAAGGCTTTATAAACAGGGGCATAGAATACAAAGTCAGGAAGTTATGATGAACCTTTGTAAAACACTGGTTAGGCCTCAGCAAGAGACTGTGTTCAGTTCTGGGCACCATACTTTAGGAAGGATGTCAAGGCATTGGAGAGGGTGCAAAGGAGATTTACCAGGATGGTACCAGGAATGAGGGACTTCAGTTATAAGCAGATGCTAGAAAAGCTGGGATTATTCTCCTTGGAGCAGAGATGGTTAAAGGGAGATTTAATAGTGTTCAAAATTAATAGAATGTTTAAAATTACAAGGGGGTTCGTTGGGGTGAAGAAGGAGAAACTATTTCCACTGGCGGGTGGATCGGTAATAATAATAATAATAATAATCCTTGCATTTGATATAGCGCTTTTCACGTCGGGAGGACGTCCCAAAGCGCTTCACAGAATAGACTGTAAAGTGAATTGACTGTATATTTGTGGGCGAACGCGGCAGCCAATTGCGCACAGCAATGTCCCGTGGACACTGATTTAAAATAGTTGTTAAAAGAAACAGAGGGGAGGTGAGAGAAATTTTTTCACACAACGAGATCTGGAATACATTGCCTGAAAGGGTGGTTGAAGCCGATTCCATAACTACTTTTAAGGGAGACATAGATAATTATCTGGGGATGACAAGTTTGCAGGACTATGGGGAGAGAGCGGGGGAGTGGGATTGATTTGGACAGTTCTTTTCAGAGAGCCGGCGCAGACACAATGGGCCGAATGGTCTCCTGTGCTGTATGATTCTATGAAAAGGCTATCTTCAATCTATGCTGTGTGCATTTGGCTGATGTGTTTCGCCCACAAAATTATAATATATTCTGTGAAGCACTTTGAGACGTCTCGAAGATGTGATAAGGCACTTTATCAAATGCAAGGATTATTATTATATTATTGACTGAATTGGATTTTATACAAATGATACAGTTTGCCTGTATCTCGGACTGCGCATAAGTCACATTAAATGTTATGGTCCCGACTGATACGACTTGTGTGAGTTTTGCTGCACATTAAATTGTTTGTACTTCTTCTAATATTAAAATAAGAGCCAGGCAAATAACTTATTTTTTGTAACCATGTTGTCTTCAGACTAAATGTGCCTAAAGAGGTGCTGATTCCGCTAAATAAAAGAGACATAAGCAAGCTGACCATTCTGCAGAAAAGGCCCTTCATTGACTGGCAACCTCAATGGAAAAATGAAGTATGAGACTTTTTTTTGTTAATCAGTAATATATTTTCTAATCTTTGTGAAATGGATAACTTTCTATGTTGCACTAAGAAATTGAATACAATTTACACTAATATAGCATATACGACCTTTCTTGTCGGGTGGGGCGGGGGGCTCCAAAAACTACTGACAAATCTGGCTGGGCACAGGAGCTGAGGGAATGAGGAGAAAGATAATCGAACGCATAGTCAAAGAGATACATCAGGTTGCAGAAGTAGAGTAGGACGAGTGCATGGAGGGATTTAATGTGAGATTCAGGATCTTGAACGTGATCTGTTGAGGGATGGGGAGCCAATGGTACTGAGCAAGGATGAGGGGTGATAGGCTTGTGGAGCCTTGGACAGGAGAGGATGTGAGCTGCAGAGTTCTGGTTAGTCTGCAGGCTGTGCAGAGAAGAGCTGAGGAGTCCAGCAAGCAGTGTTGGTGTAATGCATGAAATGCACCAGTTCTTGTTTTAGTGACTGAGCGAGAAACTCAAGTAAATATATTGCACCACTTGATACAAAATCAATACCATTGATACAATACCAATACTATTGCAATAACTTCTTTTTTTTAGATGGAAATAATGGAGAAGTGTAAAATGAAGGCTGAAATACAGGCCCTGGCATCAATTTCTTCTGACTATCTTACAAGAGTTTACTTACCAAACAAAATCAAGTTTGGAGGTTGGATATAAGCACAACAACTTACCGTTATATAACGACTTCAACACATGGTAGCGTCTCATAGCACTCACTCGAGAAAAGGACTCAAGTAACTGATTCCTATTCCATTTGGAGGGATGTCTGGCTCAGCTCGTCGCACTCTCGCCTTTGAGCAGAAAGATGTTGGAATTTGGATTCACATTTATTGTTGAGATATTGCTTGAGACATTAAACCGAGGTCCTTTCTGTCTGTTTAGGTGGATATTAAAGATTCCATGGCACAACCTGAAAAGAGAAGGAAGTTTCTCTGGCGTCGTATCCCCTAAAAATCCCCCAAATAAAATTGGGCATTTATGTCATGGCTGTTTGTGACATGTTGCTGTGCACTCGCCCACAAAATACACAGTGACTCCACTTCACAGAAAATTCCATGAAGCGTCGCTCCAAGGCCAAAGGCCAAACAACGTTGGACACAACCTTATTGTCCTTGGTGACAGACACTATAGTTAGTCTGTCGTGTCACTTTACATGTTTTGTTGGTTGATTGCTAGTTTGCGTTATAAGCTTTTACAGTGCAGCAGGTGTTTTTTCAGTCAGCATATTCCAGATTTGGGGGATTCTGGTTGTGCCGCTCTCATATTGTTGATGGTTGACATGCTACAAGGCAAGATTTGTGTCCCACGCTTAATGTGTTAAACAACAAAACCAAATTACATTTGTATAGCACCTTTCACATCTCCCGGTGTCATGGAAGTCTCACTTGTGTTAACAAATGAACATTAACAGCGGATGAAGTTTATGGTGAATAAAATATTAATTTTCACAATTTGTTATTTATTTATTTATTGGATAACGCTAACAAGTGTCAAGGGAAGGTTATTCAATATGATTAAATGGTCACTTTTTCACAAAATCCCTGACGCCTAATTTCGGTGATTTCACCGTTTCGCAATTTTACCGGAAATCTCAGGGATTTCAGGTTTAGAATAATTTCAGGGACTTTGCGAAATCCCTGGTTCCGCAACTTCACTGCGGCGGCCGCGCGATTCCGATAACACGCGTTGCAACCGCTGTATTGAGTGAAATGACACGATTGGCCGTTGATTTCAGTTTACGCTCATTTGTGTTTCCTCAACTGTGCCGATCGGGGGTCGGGGGGGTGGGGGGGGGGAAAAAACAACACCGCAGCACGACAACAACCACACAGGGGGCCGCCCCCTCTCCCGCCGCGTTTCACCCGCAAGGCACGCGGTCGGCCAACGCGGCGCACTCCGTGAAGCGCTTCGAGACGTCGCGACGACGCGACGCCCACTCTCGGACGACTGGCGGATTCACGGTTATCGCAAACCCGTTCCGCTTCGAGGAAGGCGGCCGTTAAGGTTCACCGGTTCACTGATAATAAATAATAATAATAATAATAATCCTTGCATTTGATATAGCGCTTTTCACGTCGGGAGGACGTCCCAAAGCGCTTCGCAGAACACACTGTAAAGTGAATTGACTGTATATTTGTGGGCGAACGCGGCAGCCAATTGCGCACAGCAATGTCCCACAAACAGTCGTGGATTGAAAATGACCAATTTATTATTGTTTTTGGTTTTGGAGGGATTATTATTAGGCTCTGTGTGGAGTAAGGAAACTTGCCCAAGGTTTCACCCTCTGCCTGGAATTGAACTCAGGTCTCTCGCTTGTAAAGCGAGTGCTCTAACCACTGAGCTACAGGACTCCTTAAATGATAAACATTTAAGTAACTTTGAATCGAACGGTGATTTTTTTTCCCCTTTCCCCTCACTTTTAAGATTGCACCGCAGCGATTGGGCGGTGACACGCGCTCAGCGGAACCGAACGGCGGCGGCGGCGGCGACCGGGGGGACGTGTTTGCGGGGGGGACACACGTGTGTGCGGCGGGGAACCGGGGGACGGGGACGGACGTCTCCAAGTCGGAAGTGCGTCATCCGCGTCACACCCCCCCGCTGGCTTCCTGCGTTCATTCACGGCCGCCGGGACGGTGCGAGGAGAGGCCGCGGGGTGAGGGGAGCCGCCCGGCCACAGGTGGGTAGTACCGGCGGCGGCCTCCACGCCGGGGTTTATTGGCTTCATGTGGTAATGCCCGAGCGGCCTCACCCCCGGTCAGGCCCCCGGTTGGCTCCCCCCGGGGGTAGGGGCGGTGGCAACTCTTGAAGCGCCTGTAACGTGTGGTGACCGTTTGTCACTGAACGCAGCAGTCGGTTTTGGTCAGGAATGAAGCCACTGCAACATCGTTGAAGCCAGTGATCGGTTCTATCCGCGGGGGACTGTTGGCCCGGGCACCGGGAGAGGGAGAGAGACAGACAGAGAGAGAGAGAGAGACAGAGAGAGAGAGACAGACAGACAGACAGACAGACAGAGAGAGAGACAGACAGAGAGAGACAGACAGACAGACAGACAGAGAGAGAGAGAGACAGACAGACAGACAGACAGAGAGAGAGAGAGAGAGACAGACAGACAGACAGACAGACAGACAGACAGACAGACAGAGAGAGACAGACAGAGAGAGAGACAGAGAGAGAGAGACAGACAGACAGACAGAGAGAGAGAGAGAGACAGACAGACAGACAGACAGAGAGAGAAAATGCCTTCTCTCTCTTTCCTCTCTTTTTTTTTTGGAATGTAGCTGTGAATCTTTTCACATCCGTCCGTCCGCCTTCCCGTAACGGACAGACTTGGTTTGACATCTCCCACCAGGGATGGCTCCTCTTGGCAACACCGCAGCGCATCACCCCCCCCCCCCCCCCCAGCGCAGATCCGCAACGCGGGCGGGAATGTGGTCACCGAGACACAAGCAGTCAGCAGTGCCCCGGAGAGCTGAGGATCCGCCTGGTACAACAAGTTACATTTATGTGAGCGCCTTTCACGCCGGAAGGACGCCCCGAGGCGCTGGACTGCTATGGGTCAGCGCCCGAGCTGGGGGTTCAAATCAAGAGGGGTGGGAGGGTGGCCAAAGGCACAGTCGAAGAGGAAGGTCTCGAGGTTGGAAGCTTGAAGGCTCAGGAACGATACAAAATTACGTCAGGAGAACGTTCCAAAGCACTGGACAGTCAGTGATTTGGGCCCGAGCTGGGGTTCGGGTTCGGGGAGGGTCCCCCTATGACGGACCAAGATTGTCGTAGAGGATTTATTGCTTCTGAACCCAAGTGTGGTACCTTACCATTCTTGTCCCTGCCCCTGGAAGGATATCTGTGTCAAATGCAAGGATTATATTAGTTTTTGTTCCACCATCAATGGTGCTGGTTGTTACACGTGCCTATCGTGCTTTTACTGAAACACTGAAACATTTCCAATTCTCTTTCTTTGCCCTTTATATTGGGGATTGAACCTTTTTTTATAAATGTGTTTGTACAAGATAGAAATGAATATCTTACAATACAATTACATTTGTATAACGCCTTTCACGTTGGGAGGACGACCCAAGATTCGGAACTTAATCCGAATTCGAGCCCTAAGTCGGGAGTTTAAGCCTTGGCCCAGGCTGACATTACAATAAAGTGGGGTACGTATGCGTTGCACTGTTGGAGGTGAAGTCCTTTGGTTGTGACATTAAACAGATCCTGGGTGGTCCTAGTTGGACAAGCAGGGAGCTTACCGGATAGTGCCCTCAATGGCAACCTACTGCTCCAGCAGCATCCCAAAGAACACTGTGGGGGTAAACTGTATGTAATTTTAATGTACCCGTTATTTATCCAGTGTAGCTGTTTTGTATGGAGAAAAACACTTGATTGTGGCTGTAAAGAGCTTGTTTCTGGTTGTTACAATACACTGACATAAATCATTTCATAGCAGAGCCAAAATGAGCATATTTGGAACAAGTGGAGGGTTCGGAGCAGGGAGCATGTTTGGAGGCACGACTGCAGACAACCACAATCCTATGAAGGTACGGTACATTGGATGTGGGTACAGTGGGCAGTCATAGGGATCAAAGCAGTTTTTATTCTGGAAGTTTTGATGTGTAGAGGAGTGACTGATAGTGCTGGTATCACTACTGTGGCACGGCAGAAGCTGGACTGGAGCAACTCGAGCAGGGAGTGAGGGGGAATGGCTGAGTGGCAGGTTGGAGATGGGTCGGCTGCTAACCCCTTATCAACCTGTCTGCTCCCTCAGCTCAGCAGGCTCCGGGCTGCTCCATGTCCCCCACCCGGCGCCCCCAAAGTTGGAGGTCGGCCTTTCAGCCTCTCTGCCCCCACCCTCTGGCACTCAATCCCATATTCCCTTTGCCACGCTCCCTCCCATGCCTCCTTCAAGGCACACCTCAAGACCCTCCTCCTCGACTGTGCCTTTGGCCACCCTCTTTGCCCTCCACCCTTTCTGATGCCAACCCCCTCATGCTCGGATCCAATCGCTGACTGTTCAGCGCCTTGGGACATCCTCCTGACATGAAAGGAGCTTTACAAATGTAATTTTGTATTGTAAATGTGGATAAATGCATGTGAGTGTTTCCTACAATCTTGCTGTTCATTGAGTTCTAGGCCCTATTGGAGATCGATGAAAACCTTAACCTTTTATTGAATCACTTTATACTAGTTTAATAATATTGTTTTCACAGGACATTGAAGTGACGTCTCCACCTGATGATAGTATCAGCTGTCTCGAATTTAGTCCTCCCTCGTTACCCGGCAACTTCTTGATCGCAGGTTCTTGGGCCAATGATGTGAGTAAAAGGTCCAGAATGCATTGATATAAATGCTTAGAAATATCTTCCACCCTTCCTCATCCTTTTTTTTTAAACAAATTGTTTGATTTTTGAAGGTTCGATGTTGGGAGATCCAGGACAATGGACAGACTGTCCCAAAGGCACAGCAGATGCACACAGGTCCCGTCCTGGATGTCTGTTGGAGCGATGTAGGTACATTTTTATTCATATTTTTAAAAAAAATTATTGTTTCAATACAAAAGTTTTTGCTTTTAGCACTAGTTTCAAAGAACCTTCTGTCATGAGCAAATCTGAAAGATTAGTTAAAAACCTAGAAGTAAGAGTACGTTAATGACAGTCGAAGCAAATGGGAATTTGGAAAATCTAAAGGTTTTTTGTTTTTTTGTCTGACAAATGCAGAAACCCATCACCACGCGTAAGAGTATCCAAACCAGACCGAGTTCTGAATATACCGTAAGCATTTGGAAATTCCCGTGTCTGGAATGAAAGGCGCACTCTCCCCAAAGAGACGTACCCTGCTTACCTAATTCTGGAGAGTATTAGGTGCAGGTTGGCAATAGCCATGGGGACCCGAGTGTGCGTGTTGGGGAACTTTGACCAGCTATAACTGTGTAGCTTTCCATTGAAAGTGCTCTGTTGTCAAGCTTCTTGCTGCATGTCCAGCTTGGATCACCCTGTGAATGCCAAATTTGGTTATTCACTTCATGGCTGTAAACTTGTAATTTATTTTGTGACTGTTTGTGGGACATTGCTGTGTGCAAATTGGCTGCTGCTCTTGCCCACAAAACGCACAGTAACCACACTTTACAGTGTATCCTGGGATCTCCTCCTGACATGAAAGGCACTATGCCAAATATAAATATTATGATTGCTCGTTAGGGCTTTGATGTGCAGGTTTAACAGGAGCTGAGTGGGAATAATCGCTGCCCCTGAAAATTCTGCTGGTTAGCCAGGCTGGCTGGTCTGTCATCAGCAGGACTCTGGAACTGGACTGCTGAGTATTGACTTGATTCCAATATTGCATTGTCAAGTTTGTCCTCTTGGAACCACTTCAGCTCCATGGAGACCTCGCTTACCTCCTCTGCAGGAGGATAGATAGGCTTATTGCAACAAGTTGAAGAATCTAATGTTGTGAAACAATGTTTGTTTACAGGATGGCAGCAAAGTTGTCACAGCATCGTGCGATAAAACTGCCAAGATGTGGGATCTCAACAGTAACCAGGCTATACAGATTGCACAGGTGATTGGAAGAGAAATTCCTGCTAGCAGGGACGTACAGAATAAAGCACATCCAAATCAACAGAGCTTCCTTATACTATTTCTGATTTAACGTACTTATTTCTTTAAAAAGTGGAGACTAAGCAAGCAAAATGACAAACAAATGGTTCAAATGTTAATTGAAAAATTGTGCTAATGCTTAATGCTTTTGGGACTGAACACACTCAGCTTCGGTGCCCTAGCTTACAATCCCTCAATTTAAATTGGTCATTTGCTTCATGTTTGTGAGACGTAGCGGTGCGTAAATTGGCTGCTGTGATCACCTACAAAATATACAGTCATTGCGCTTTACAGTAAATCATGTTCCTCACTCTATCCACCCCACCTGTGGCAGGTAGACTTTCAACCATTCTGCCCCATTCTCTAGCCTGGAGTCCCTCCAACTTGCTCCCTCTTCTTTCAAGGAACATAGAATTATACAGCAGAGAAGGAGGCTATTCGGCTCATTCGTGTCTGCTGGTTCTTTGAAAAGAGCTATCCAAATCAATCCCACTCCTCTCTCTCCCCATAGCCCTGTAAGCTTGTCCTCCACAAATAATTATCAACCTTTCTCTTAAACGTTGTAATCAAATCGGCTTCGACCACCTTTTCAGCCATTGCTTTCCAGATGCGAACAACTCGCTGTGAGAAAAAAATTCTTCTCACCTCCCCTCTTTTAACAATTATTTTAAATCGATGCCCTCAGGTTACCGACCCACCCACCAGTGGAAATAGTTTCTCCTTGTTCACCCTATCGAATCCCCTCATAATTTTGAAAACTTCTATTAAGTTTCCTCTTTACCTTCTCTGCTCCAAGGAGAATAATCCCGGCTTCTCTATCCTCTCCTGATAACTGAAGTCCCTAATTTCTGGTACCATCCTGGTAAATTTCCTTTGTACCCTCTTCAATGCCTTGACATCCTCCCTAAAGTGTGGTGCCCAGAACTGAACACAGTGTCTACCTGAGGCCTAACCAGTGTTTTACAAAGGATCATCATAACTTCTTGACTTTTATATTCTATGCCCCTATTTATAAAGCCTAGTATCCCATATGCTTTTTTTTTTAAACAGCTTTATCTATTTGTCCTGCCACCTTCAAAGATTTACTTATATGAACCCCCGGGTCCTTCACCCCCTTTAAGATTGTACCATCAGCTCATATTGTCTCTCTTTATTCTTCCTCCCAAAATGCATCACTTTGCATTTCTCCACATTAAACTTCATCTGCCCCGTGTCTGCCCACTTTACCAGTCTGTCTGTCCTTTTGCTACTATCCTCTACAACGTTTACACCATTTCAAAGCTTAGCATCATCTGCAAGTTGTACTCCCTATACCCAAGTCCAGGTTATTTGCATACCTTGAGCACCGTCAACCTTTTTTGTACCTCCTCTCTGTTTATTATCTTATCCAATTTCTCTACCCTCTCTTCCAACACTGTAGCATTGTCTACATGCTCTTCTTTTGTGGAGACAGATCCAAAGTACTCATTCAGTACGTCAGCTATGCACTCCTTCCACAAGAAGGTTTCCTCTTTAGTCCCTAATTGGCCCACCCTACCTTTGACTAACCTTTTATTCTTTATATGCTGATAAAATACCTTAGGGTTCCTTTTTATCTTACCCGCTAATCTTTTCTCATACAGACTCTCTGCCCCTCCTATTTCCTTTTTCAGTTCTCTGCACTTTCTGTATTCTATTTGATTATCTTCTGTATTTTGGACCTGACATATATTGTAAGACACCTTCTTTTGTATGTTTTTTTAATTCCAATTTCCTTAGTTATCCAGAGAGGTTTGGATGCCCTACCTTTCCCCTTTGTGGGAATGTATTTGTTCTGTCCCCGAACTATCTCCTCCTTGAAGGCTCATTGCTCGTTAGCTGTTTTACCGGCCAGTCTTACTTTCCAATCCACCTTGGCTAGGTCACTTTTTAACTCACTGAAATTTTCAAGTTGAGTATCTTCACCTTTGATTGTTCCTTGTTCCTTTCCATAAGTATTCTAAACCTAATGATATTGTGATCATTGTTGGCTAGATGCTCTCTCACTGAACCCTGCTCCACTTGCCCCACTTCATTATTTCCTTAGAACTAGATCCAGCACTGCTTCCTTCCTCGTTGGCTGGAAACATATTGATCCAGAAAGTTATCCTGCACACATTTCAGGAATCCTTCCCCTTCCTTTGCCCTTTGCCAGTCTATATTAGGATAATTGAAGTCCCCCATTATTACTACTCTATTGATTTTGCATCTTTTGGAAATTTGCTTGCAGATTTGCTCCTCTATCTCCTTTCCACGACTTGGTGGTCCATAGTATAGACCTAACAGAGTAACAGCTCCTTTTCTGCTCCTTAACTCTAACTAAATAGATTCTGTTTTGGGTCCCTCTTGCACATCGTCCCTTTCTCGGGCTGTAACCATGTCTTTAATCAATATTGCCAGCCCCTCTTTTTTTCCTTCCCTATCTCTCCTGAATACGTTGTAGCCAGGAATATTCAGCTCCCATTCCTGCCCTTGTTTGAGCCAGGTCTCTGTTATTGCCACTACATCATAACCCCAAGTGGTAATTTGAGCCGCACCTCACCAACTCCGTACATTTACTCACATACATTCCAAGACCGATTTAATCTGCTCTTTTTCTCCTCTCTGATGCTGCATCCTGATTCTCTTCCCCCCTCAAAATTAGTTTAAACCCTTCCCCTGAGCACTAATTAACCTCCCTGTAAGGAAGGATATTTCACGTGTAACCCATCCACCTTGTACAGGCCCCACCTGCCCCAGAACTGACCCCAATGTTCCAGGAACCTGAAGCCTTTCTTTCTGCACCATTTCTCCAGCCATGCATTCATGGGTTTGTTCCTGCTGTTTTGATACTCATACGATGCACTGGGGATAATCCAGAGATCACCACCTTTGAGGTCATGCTCATTAGCATTTTCCGTAGCTTCTGATACTCTCCCTGTAGGATCTCAGCCCTTTTTTTCCCCTAAGTCATGGATCCCAACATGGACCATGACTTCTGGATGTTCCCCTTCTGCCTGTAGAATATTTTGCACCCGTTCCGTGAAGTCTTTAACCATGGCACCAGGGAGACAACATACCATGTGAGAGGGATGTCCTCCAGTGCCTTGGGATGTCCTCCCGACATGAAAGGCGCTCTATAAATATAATTTTGTCGTTGTTGAGAGTCACATCTTTGGTTGCAGAAACGCCTGTCTACTCCTTTCACCATTGTATCCCCAATGCCAATTGCATTGACACTCTTCCCTGTCGTCGTCCCCCCCCGTGTATCCATTTGCTTTTGACCCTTGCTCACACTACTTAATACTTAACACCTACTTCCCCAGGAATGTTACCATTGGTTTAGGCGCCTCCGTGTCTAGACACACCAATATAAATATGTAAACAATTTATTTATTATCACCTTTTGTCCCTCGCTCACACCCCTTAATGCTTAACATCTACTTTACATCTACTTCCCCAGGAATGAAAACAAAGTTCTCACTTGCACCTCCTTCCCCCTCTGCATAGAATTCCCACTCTCACCAAATTCCTCAACAGAAGCCTCAATCTGTTCCACCTCACTCAGTTCCCTCCTCATTCTGCTGAGCGCTGGGCTCTCTGCTCTCAGAATGTACCACTTTGACCAGGCTTTTGATCATCATTCTCCTCCCACTTCCGCACTTATTGTTAAGTGCTTTGAGACATCCTCTTAATGTGTAAAGTGGAAATTGTAAATAAATGTATAATTGTATTATAAATCATGTGAAGTGCTTTGAGATATATCAGATGCAAGGCTTATTTTATATTCTCTAACTTTAATATCACATTGTCAAAACACCTAGCTTTAAGAGATTACTTAGTTTTGTTTCAAATGGAAGAGAAGGAATACCAAATGGGTGGATTCCCACTCAAGGTAATTTGTGATGTACAGAATCATACCTGCTGCAGGTATATGTGAAGTGGCCGCTAATAGCATCTGTTTAACCGCAGCACGAGGCACCCATCAAAACTGTGCATTGGATTAAAGCACCGAACTACAGCTGTGTAATGACAGGCAGCTGGGACAAGACGTTAAAGGTATGAGCTGAACCTGTGTTTGTGGAAATTTAACTCTTTGTAATCTGTTGTGTGGTACCATCCCACTAAAGGCCTGAGGAAAGTGACATGTATGGTATCAAGATCTCCATTGGTCAAACTGAACCCAGTGAGTGTTGGCAAGGTTACTCATCACAACCGATTTTATCCTCCCTGTAAAAACATCCAACAGAAGTCACTGAACGTCAATCCTGATTCAGGAGCCTAACGGCAGTGATCCTATTACCTCTGGCTGAGATCAGAGGAGCTCTTGATATCATCCGTGTCAATTTCCTGGTTTACGTAGTTAATGTTCAAACGGGCCAGTCACTACCACAGGAAGCTCTGTGTGATACTGTTCTGGGATAATTCTGAGGGAATGTGGCACTGCGTGAGCCCAGTATTTGTACAGGAATCACCGACTTCCTGAAGTGCACATGGTTACAGTTCCAAACGTGCATAATTTCCTCTTACGTGCTAGTCTTATTCATAAAATAATGTACATATATCGAGTCTGCACAGTCTCCTGAATCCAGCAAACTGTTGCTAGCTCCAAGCTCAGTTAAGAAAGTTTCTGGGAAAGTCAAGAAAATGCTCTTGCTGTAAGCACTAAAGTTTCAGGGTAGTCAATGACTGAGGCGAGTTTCTTTCCTAGTTTGCTCTCTTGGACCCATGTTGAGGCAACATCCAATGCATTCATCTCAACATTACTCAGCTTTACTGTGCAGTCTGTAACTATAAAGAGCTGTAATCCTTCCTTTTCTTTACAGTTCTGGGACACGCGATCTCCAAACCCCATGTTAACGTTGCAGCTGCCCGAGAGATGTTACTGTGCTGATGTTGTAGGTATTCGTTCTTGTCCCTGCTTTCACATCTCTCTTAAAAACGTATCTCTTTGACTATACCTTTGATTAACATCCCCAATTATCCCACCATTTCCCAGTGTTTGGTGATTCTAAATGCTTTTGAGATATTCATCTCATTCATTGAGCTTCCGATGAAGTGGCCAGGAGCTGAGGTAAAGATGGCTAACTTTCAGGTCATCAGATTGCCACTGACGTCACTTCTTGTGCGCTGGACTTGCTCAGGGCACGTTGAAAGTGGTGTCAGTGGTGACCGGTGGTTGTCTGTTTAATGTGGGGAAACCAGCTATGTACATGCTCAGTGATTGCCCACACCCTATCTGTGTAGTGTTTAACAAAGAGCATTATAACAAGGCGGCACTGTATAGACGACAAAGGAAAAACGTGGAAGCGAATCATGTCAGCAAATTCAAGAGGGAATTAGGTAATTTAGTGAAAAGGTTTGATTGAGCAAATATGAGAGCAGCAGCAACATAGGGAGTCATTGTGTACATTGCTGTGTTTCTGTGCACCGTTTCCGTGAAATGAGGACAACAAAAATGTTGTTTTAGAAATTGGGAAAAATATTTATGAAATTGTGGGATGAGGGAGAGCTTAACTGTTTTCCTCACTATAATAATTCACAGATGTAAATATTTTTAAATACTTCAGGAGTCGCATAATTGGAAATTTATCTTGAGATTATAGTAAATGAGGTAGGAGCATGTCAGAGTGAGGAACATGTTTAGATCTGGGGACTACCGTGGTTAGGATTTCATTTGGGTTACTCTTGTACAGGCCTTTCAGCCCATTGTTTATAATGTCTCTTTTGTGTGTATATTTTCAGTTATTTCCCATGGCTGTGGTAGCCACTGCCGAGAGGGGATTAATAGTATATCAGCTTGAGAACCAGCCCTCAGAATTCAAGAGAATAGACTCTCCTCTCAAACACCAGGTAAAATGACACAATCCTGGCAGCTCATAACTAAGAAAAGTACATAGCATTTTCAGAAGGAAAGATCAATTTTGATTACGAGTTTACCTGTACAATAGTCATTCATTGTGTTCACTTTTGTGGATAATGGCTATCATATTATTTATATAGAGTATATGAAATCTGGACCTGGCGTATTAGACATTAATGCACCTTGGACAGAATTTTTAACCCATTCTTGTATGTGTTGTATAAGCCATCTCTACACCATACATCTTAATCTTACAGCAGCGCCTTGGGATATCTTCCCGACATGAAAGGCGCTATACACATGTAATTTTGTATTGTACACTATGTACAACTCTCCGAGATGATTAGAAACTATTTTGAACAATAGCCTCAAAGGTTTATCTTGTCTGTCCAGACTAATTTCTCGAGTAACTGTCAAAGGGACCTTTCATCCCTCTGTCTGTAATGGATTCAAACACTGTCTGACTGTTTGTTGCTATTTTTCAGCATCGCTGTGTCGCCATCTTCAAAGACAAGCAGAACAAGCCCACAGGGTTTGCCCTTGGTAGCATTGAGGGAAGAGTCGCCATCCATTACATAAACCCCCCCAACCCGTAAGTAGCAACAACATAGGCTTTTTGTCCCTGTTGTTTATTTTGTAATTTTCACTAGTTTAATAATGCGAACATTTTACATTTTTAGTGCAAAAGACAATTTCACCTTCAAGTGTCACCGCTCCAATGGAACCACTAATACCTCAGGTCCTCAAGATATTTATGCTGTAAGTATTAAGCTACAAAGTTGAGTTTTGGTTGTGATTTGTGTTCGTTTGGGACAGTTACCTGAAAATCCCATCTTCAGATGGTTAAAGTGAGCAGCGTGCGAGAGCAGCCGTCTGCTGATCCGACACACCAACCCCAGACAGAAAGCTGTTGTGGGTGCGAGACTACCTGTGGAAGGCTACAGTGTCAGAATGAATTAGTTGCTGACACTTTTGCCACTGGATCAGAGTTTGAAGGGTTCCTGTCTACAAAAACAGACATTTACAACATATGTTCTGGTTGTCTCAAGAACCTCCCGATTTAGTCCTGCGCTCCTGCCTTTCCCCCTCTTATATTTCTTCTCTTAATTTTTTTAAATTCTCTATTAAAAGTGAATATGGATTCTACCTCAACCACTGTTTGGTGTAGGACATTCCATGTCTTAACTCTGACCTGTGTTTCCAACGTGTAGTCTTAATTGCTCTGTTGACTGAGCTAATCTAACAGCACAGCCTGCAACTCAAGCCTCGCACCTTCCCAGCCTGATTCAGTCACTTCTGATAAATCCTGAGCTCTCACAGGATACCCTCAAATGGAAATTGAGCCATGATTCCCAATATCATTCCTTGATTTCTAGCGCCGTTTACATTTTGGAGCAGAGGATTTTAGTCTGTTTTTTGGTGTCACTGTCTGCCTTCGGGCATTACTGACAAGTTTTGTTGCCTGGAATGTCTGTTTGGCACTATGCAAGAAGGTAATGGTTGTAATGTCAGTGGAAGTTTCCTGAGAAATGAGAACCGTCAGAGTATTGATCCAGTACCTTGGGACATCCTCACGATGTGTAAGGCGCTGTGCAAACGTAATTTGTTGTTGTTGAAATATTGTATTCTACCAGTTAGGTGTGGTTAAAAGAATTAGCTGCACTTTTGGATACTTTCACATTGTCTTGTCACTAGTGACTTCAAATGAAGTCTAAGAAGTGGGGAAAAAAAGAAATTTCATCCTTGGTTTTGAGAGTGACTATGAGAATTTGTTTCTGTTATGATACAAACACTTGTTGAATTGTACAGTTAAAATCATGGAGTCGTGTAGCATATTGGTTAGAGCACTCGCCTCACAAGTGAGAGGATCTGGCTTCAATTCCCGGCCATGGCAAAATGTTAGGCAAGTTTTCTTACTCCAAACGCCTCTGTTTACCTAGCAGTAATAGGAACCCGGTTGTTAGTCGATTGGCGGACATCGTTCCGGGGGTAATAATCCCTTTAAAAAGATGTGGTCACTCAGTCCACGAATGTTTGTTGGACACTGCTTTGTGCAATTGGCTGCTGCGTTTTGACCACAAAATATGCAGTTAATCCATTTTACAGTACGTGTTGTGAAGCGCTTTGAGACGTGTCAAAGGCATAAGGCGCATTTTGATATATTAAATGCAAGGATTGTTATTATGAAATCTGTATATCTCACGACTTACGACAGTTGAGCTTTCTCATTTTACTCTCAACTGGAATGAAACATGGTTGCCATCCATTTTCTGCAAAATAGCGTAATCCCTTTAATTATTCTCTCCCGTCAGGTTAACGGGATTGCATTCCACCCAATCCATGGCACACTCGCCACAGTGGGATCCGACGGCAGGTTCAGCTTTTGGGATAAAGACGCCCGCACCAAGCTGAAAACCTCTGAGCAGCTGGACCAGCAGATCACTGCCTGTGGCTTCAACAACAACGGCAACATCTTCGCCTACTCCTCCAGTTACGACTGGTCAAAGGTAGGGAGGAGTTTGCTCTGGGTGTGGCTGCCTGGATCAATGGTGACCATCAAGGCCAGACGAAGGGATGTGGGGGCCCTTTGTACTATGCAACAATACCTTTTTGTGGATGACAGTCACGTTGATATTTAATCTGACTATGTAGATGTCTCAACGACATGATAAGGCACTATATAAAATGCAAGGGTTATTATGATAAGGTTAAAATTAGTTTCTCAAAAAATTCCTGCATCCGTTTGTTTTCAGGGTCATGAATACTTTAATCCTCAGAAAAAGAATTACATATTTCTGCGTAACGCAGCAGAGGAGCTGAAACCCAGGAACAAGAAAGGGTAAGTGCTACAGAAGGGCTTCATCTGCACATTCAGTACATAAACTCTAAACGTTTATAATTCAGCTTGTAAATGAACCAGGGAGAAAAGCTCTCTGATGGTCAGAATTACTTTTGCACAATACAGTTAATATGCTTGAGTGTAAATTTCCTTTATCATCTTTTTTTCTCTTGATAATTTCTAAAGTTGTTTGACTTCTTTTCCTTCTACTGTGGGATAGTTGCACAGATACTGCCTGTAGTAACTCTCTGTTGTTATTATGTTTGTATGAGTTTCAATATTGCGTATTGCAAACTACCTTGGCATGCAGAGGACATCATAACTAAACCTGATCCTGTCCTCACCCAACACAAAGTTCATAGCACTCTCGCCTCTTGAATCAGAAAGTTGTAAGATCAAGCATCATGTCAGGATTTTGAACCCATATAGTCTAAGATGACATTCCAAATGCAGTGCTGGGGGAGCGCTGCATTGTGTAGGACGGGATAAGGTGCTATATCAAATGCAAGTATTATTATAAACATGGCAGCCAATTTGTGTACAGCATAGTTAAGAGTTGCCGATGTTAATATCCTACATTAGGAAGAGATGTTAAACCAAAGTCCTGTTTGTGGCTGTCAAAGATTCTATGGCGCTATCCGAAAAGAGAAGGGGATTTCTCACGGTGTCCTGGGCAATAATTGTCGAAATAAAATTGAACATTCATGTCATGGCTGTTGGTGGGACATTGCTGTACACAAATTGGCTGTTATGTTTGCCCACAACGTACGCACTCACTCCAATTTGCAGTGAAGTACTATGAAACATTCTCTTGCATGGGTGCAAGTTGTGTTGTCCTTTAATATGACCTTGCTTACAGGTAACTTACTGGAGTCACGTTACAGTGGAGCCATCGATTGCTGCATCATATTTGAGATTGTTATGGTCAGGTTCATGTATTAGTCACAAGGGGGCGCATTTTCACTAGAGATGCTGCTTGGATATTTAGCATGTTTTATTGATACAACTTACAGACCCAATCACACTGAAAAATCATTTAGCAATAATATACTTGAAGAATTATAGAAAGTATGCAGTTCAGTGAAAGACAAATGTCTAAGAAGTGTTTTTGTTTCTCTCCTTAGGATTTGAATGGTTGCAACAGCTGAGTTACTGAAGATAAAAGCAACTATTAATGTATAGAGGTGTCTGTCTGTGTGTCTGTCTGAGTCAATGTGCTGGATTAGATACTGTTTCATATATTTTCCCATAATAAAATTTTCATTTAATTCCAGTTTGTTCCTGAACCAAGCTAAGATGTGGAGGAAGGAATTCAAATAGCCTTTAGACTCTTATTTCTTGTCTGCCTCTAACATAATAATAATCCTTGCATTTGATATAGCGCTTTTCACGTCGGGAGGACGTCCCAAAGCGCTTCACAGAACACACTGTAAAGTGAACTGACTGTATATCTGTGGGCGAACGCGGCAGCCAATTGCGCACAGCAATGTCCCACAAAGTCGTAGATTGAAAATGACCAATTTTATTATTGTTTTTGGTTTTGATTATTACATGACACATGTAATGACACATGAAACGACAGGTTTTGAACATGACACAATTGCGCTAATGTGTATTGCATTGAGTATTACAACAAAAACGTTAACTCTATTCCCAAGGTTGAGGGTCCCAATCTTGCTTGTTCTCTACAGTTCCATTAATGTTGGCAGCTGTCGGGCTGGTTATATTCATGGCCGCACCAGTTTTTACATTGAAAGTTATCTCCCTGGAAGAGGTGACTTAAGGAACTGGAATATTCTATTCCCGACCAATCCCCAGCCCCAGGAATCTAATATTATTAATTATAATACTAATTTGCTTCAGATTTTGAAAATGCAAAATAAAACTGAAACTTATGTGTGAAATATATGTCAACCTGACTTAGTTGGTAGCATTCTCGCCTCTTGAGTCAGAAGGTAAAGATCAACGTTGAGACTTGAATCGCAGTCTAAACTGACTCTCCAGTGAAGTGCTGGGGTGGGGGGTGGGAGTCTTTTCAGGAAGTACCAGCAAGATGAGAGGTTAAATTGTGGTTCAGGTGTATGGTAAAAATTCAGTGGCACTACTCGAAAAGAGAAAGTTTCTCCCAGTGTCCTGGCCAACAATCCAACAACTAAAATTAGTCATTGGTCACTCACTTCATGGCTAGTGGTGGGACATTGCTGGGCACAAATTGGCTGGTTCACCCACAGTATATTCTGTGAAGCGCTTTGGGACATCTAGAAGACGTGAAAAGCGCTATATCAAATGCAAGGATTATTATTTTTATTTGTGAAGCACTTTGAGATGTCCTGATGTGAAAGGCGCCATATCAAATCGGAGTATTATTTGAAGGTACTACACATTATGAAAACAATATTTTGTTTGATTGAATCATCTTATTTTTTAAAAGTATAATAAGTAATCCTTCATCTGATATAACGCTTTATCATATCGACAGATGTCTCACAGTTCATCTTGGGATTTTCAGCCCTGTGGTGACTGTTTATTTGTAAGTGAATGCAGCAGCCAATTGATGCACCATGTCCTACAATGTAGCTTACCCCCAGCACTGACTGGAGTGTCAGCCGAGACTACACAGGAATATAAGAAATGCTAGACGAAAAAAGACCGAGGTCCATCTAGTTCGCCTTCCACCTTCCTGGTGGTCGCATGCACATGCGTTCCAAACTACCTTTGTACTATATCCCATAATGTTATTTCCTAAAAGAAAACGATCTATTCCGTGTTTGAAAGAATCAACACTTGCTGCTTAAACCTTCTCCCGAGGAAGACTATTCGGTCACATAGACTGTTAGTTTAAAGTTCTGATCTGGGGCTTGAATCCACAAACTTCTGACTCTGAGGCGAGAGCTACCAACCAAGTCAGGCTGACACTTAAAACAAAATTAAATAATATTATGTTAGAAAGACTTCAATATTTAGCCAATGCAGAGTGGCTAATTAGGAACAACAAAGTGAAGGAACAGGAGTGACTGAGGACTGGGATGCCATTGGACACAATTGTTGTGTTGACTGAGTCAATTACAGCCCGATAGCAGAGCAAAGGTTTAGAGAATGCTTGTATTTCACTGATATCGCCATCTGTCTGTCCATAAGTCGGGCTATTTTGCATCAGACAAGCTAGAGAAGAATCCAGTTAACCTGGAAGAATGCCAGTTACTAAACTTGAGAAATTCCTAATGCATTTCCATAATCCAGCAAGGACAGTGCATGAACTGAACTGTCAAACACTCTGGGGGTACCCTGTGTGAGGGGGGTTATATAAATGCAACTTGCTGTTGAATCTAAAGCTTGGTAAATCACATCAGTGACATTGCCTCCAGGCCATCAGCAACAACACCAAAATTATATTTGTATAGCACCTTTCATGTTGGGAGGATGTCTCAAGGTCTGCTTGACAATCAGTATTTTGGACACAAGCTGGGGGTTGGGATTGGGGAGGGTAGAGGGAAGGAGGGTGACCGAAGGCACAATCGAAGAGGAGGGTCTTGAGATGGGTCTCCCAAAGGAGGGGCCGAGGCGGAGGAACTGCGGGATGGAGGTCCAAAGTGAGGGGGTAGAGTGGCTGAAGGCCCGACCACCAATGGTGGGGTGGACAAGGTGGGGGAAATGAAGCAGACCGGAGCCTGCTGAGCGGAGAGCGCGGGCAGGTTGGTAAGGGGTTAGGAGGTCGCAGAGGTAGGGGAGAGTAAGACCAGGGAGGGCTTTGAAAGTGAGGACCAGGATCTTGAACTGTATCCTCTGTGTGATGGGAAGCCAGTGGAGTCGGGCAAGGATGGGGGTGATAGGGTGGCGGAGCCTAGTGCAGGAGAGGACACGGGCTGCAGAATTCTGGATGACCTGCAGCCTATGGAGGGAGGGTTGGGGAGGCTGACAAGCAAGGAGTTTGCGTAGTTGAGCATAGATGTTATGAATGCATGTATGAGGGTCTCGGCGGCCTGTGGTGTGATACAGTGGCAGAGCCGAGTGATGTTGTGGTGGTGGAAAGGCAGATTCGGTCAGAGCACGGATGTGGGGTAAGAAGGACAGTTCGCTGAGAGCAGAGGCGGTGCATGAAGCTAGAGTGGTCGACGGGGTTGAAGGCAGCAGAGAGGACAAGGAGGCACAGAGAGCCCTGGTCGCAGATGTTCAGAATGTCGTTAGTGAGTTTGACCAGGTATGTTTCCATGCTGTGGGCAGCACTGAACCACGATTGGAAGGGTTCAAAGCAGGGAATGGCAGGAGAGGAAAGAGCGAAGCTGGGACCCGACAGCTCATTCCAGGCCTTGGAGAGGAATGGGAGGTTGGAGATGGGGCAATAGCTGCAGAGTAGGGATGGGTCCAGGGAAGGTTTATTGAGGATGGGGGTGATGACAGCTGTTTTTAGGGTGGGAGAAACAGTGCCAGTGGGTAAGGAGAGGTTGCTAATGTGGTTAAAAGGGGCCAGCAAGGCTGGACCAACTGATAATAAATGCTTTAAAACTAAAATAATTATTTGTGGAAAGAATCGTGGTTAAGTGAGAAAATAATCCCAGTAATATTCAAACCTTACATTCATCCAATCCCAGTTTGGTGCACAGTATATCAGCTCTGAGTCAAAAGACTCAGAAGCTCATTCTATCGTAGCTTAAGGTTTGTGGCACACAACTGAGACAGGATAATGAATTACCTACACAAGGCACAAAATAACCCATCACCATCTACACTGTTAGAGTTCGAAGGATGCAAACTTCTCCCAAGACACTGGGAGAAAAATACTTGTATCGTGCGATGGGATCTGTAACATCCACCTGAATGGGCACGATAGGGCCTTAATAATAATAATAATCCTTACATTTGATATCGAGCCCTATTACGTCTTCAAGAGATTTCACAGGATATACTTTGATATGATTTCTTCCGACCTCTATATTCCAATACAAAGTAACTGTTAAGAGGCTTCATGGAGATGGCAGTTCATGCTGCTGCTGCTGAACTTGGCTTCAAGCTGCAAACCTGCGTTTCCTGTCTTCACTCAACCATCAACTCCTTTCAGATGTTCAGTGTCTGAGCCGAGGTGATTGTATTTGTGCAGGAAGCCTGTTGGTCTTTGTGCCAGTGTAGTTCATTCTCAATACTTGGGTCACACTGTTCCTGGAATGACAACTGATGTTTACTCTGATGTTTCAGAGTTGTTCTCTTGCCAGGAGGCACCGGCTTACATTAGCTATTGCTCCCTCATTGTTATTTCAGGATGGATCTGCAATGTTGTCATGTCCCCAAACCAGGAGCCAGTTTCGCCTCCAAATCCAATTTAACTGAGTAAAATGAGCCATATCAATGATTCATTTACTTAACACACTGTTCAACACACTATAACTCAGATATAATCACAACACTCACTCTTCTACACCTTGCTGTATTACTCAGATGTAACCCGCAGAGTTCTGAATGAGCTGGATTTTTTGATAGTGGACCTGGGGAGACCAGCGAGGAATATGTTTGAGTAATCCAAGTGGGGGGTGACAAACACATGCACGAGGGTTTCGGCTGCATTTGGGGTAAGGTACGGTAGGAGGCAGACAATGTGCCGGAGGTGGAGGAAGGCGTGGTCGACTGTGTCGAATGTAGCAGAGAGATCCAGGAAGACAAGGAGGCAGAGGGAGCCCTGGTCAAAGAAAGAGAGAATGTCATTTGTGACTTTGACAAGCATTGTCACTGTGGACACTCAGGGCAAAAACCAGACTACAGGGGCTCGAGGAGGGAGTGGAGGGAGAGTGACTGAAGTTGACCTGCAGCAGTGTTCCAGGACTTTGGCAAGGAAAGATAGGTTGGTAGTGTGAGAGATTAGAGGGATTGAGGGTGGGTTTTTTGAGGAGGGGGGTGATGACAGCGGTTTTCAGGGGGAGTGGAACAGACCCTGAGGAGAGAGACTGGATGATCATGTCGGCCAGCAGGTGGAAGAGGAGAGGGAGTTGAGTGACCTGCAGCTGAGCGGGTGGGGGGGGGGGGGGTCGAGGCAGCAGGTGGTGAACTTCACCCGGGTGATTGTGGTTGAGAGGGAGGAGGGAGAAAAGGAGTGTAAGAAGGGGGTAGTGGCAGGAGCCATGGCAGAGGGAGAAGGCGGTGTGGATGGTCTGGGTGGGGTGGAAGGGAACATGGCGGGGAGGACGATGCAGCCAAGTGGATGTTTTAAATTTTTGAGGTGAATAAATCTAGCACCTCTGTGCACTTGGCTTTTGACGTGAGGATAGAGGGGACTTGAGGGGGTGC